CAGCAAAGTAATGACTCTGCTTCTCAATACACTGTCTAGGTTTGTCACAGCTTTCCTGCCAAGAAGCAAACGTCTTCTGATTTCATGGCTACAGTCATCAGAGTGATTTTAGAGCCCAAGGTGTGCAAATTTGTCACTACTTCTACCTTTTCCCCCTCTATTTGCCATGAAATAATGAGGTCGGATGCCATGATCTTAGTTTTTTTAATATTTACTTTCAAGCTGGCTTTTTCACTCTCCTTCACCCTCATCAAAAGGTTCTTTAGTTTCTCCTTGCTTTCTGCCATTAGGGTGGTATCATCTGCATATCTGAGGTTGTTGATGTTTCTTCCGCTTCTCTTGATTCTAGCTTGTAACTCATTCAGCCTGGCATTTCTCATGATGTGCTCACAGTATAGATTGAACAAAGAGGGTGACAGCAGACAGCCCTGTTGTACTCCTTTCTCAATCTTAAACCAATCAGTTGTTCCATACAGGAACTTGTTGCTTCTTGACCTGCATACAGGTTTCTCAGGAGACGGTAAGATGGTCTGGTAATCCCATCTCTTTAAGAGCTTTCCACAGTTTATTATGATCCACACAGACAAAGGCTTCGGTGTAGTCAATGAAACAAAGGTAGATGTTTTTCTGGAATTCCCTAGCTTTCTCTATAATCCAGCGAATGTTGGCAGTTTGAACTCTGGTCCCTCATACTTTTTAAACCCAGTTTGGACATCTGGAAGTTCTTGATTCTCATAATGCTGAAGCCTAGCATGCAAGATTTTAAGCATGACCTTACTAGCATGGGAGATGAGTGCAACTGTCTGATCGTTAGCACATTCTTTAGCACTACCCTTCTTGATAACTGGGATGAGGATTGACCTTTTCCAGTCCTGTGGCTGGAGTGATATTAATATTACTCAACAATTAAAAGGAACAACCTTCTAATACATGTTACAACATGAATGAACCTCAAAAACATGCTATGTGAAAAAAAACAAACACAAAAGACTACATATTATACAATTCCATTTAAATGAAATGTTTAGAAAAGGCAAATTTATAGAGACATAAAGTAGATCAGTGGATGCCTAAGGGCTGAGAATGGGAGTAGGGATTAACTATAACTGGGCACAAGGGAATGTTTTAGGATAATGGAAATGTTCTAAAAGTGGATTGTGGTGATGACTTACTATAAATCCACTAATACAATTGAATTATATGGTTACAAACATTGACTTTCATAGTATTTAAGTTGTACATTAATAAAATTGTTTTTTAAATAGTCAAATGATTTATTAAAAAAAAAGAAATTCAAGCTCATCAGTAATCAGGAAAATGAAAACAAAGACAGGCAGAAATTAAGAAGTCAGATAATACCAAGGTAAGAAGATATGGAGCAAGAGGTATTCATGCACATCACTGGTAGGAAATCAAACAAGAACAACCACTCTGGAAAATAATTTGTCCTGATTCTGAAGAGTTACCTATGTACATACTCTATAAGCAGCCATTCAGTTCAGTTTAATTCAGTTCAGTCGCTCAGTCATGTCCAACTCTTTGTGACCCCATGAATCACAGCATGCCAGGCCTCCCTGTCCATCACCAATTCCTGGAGTCTACCCAAACCCATGCCCATTGAGTTGGTGATGCCATCCAGCCATCTCATCCTCTGTCGTCCCCTTTTCCTCCTGCCCCCAGTCCCTCCCAGCATCAGGGTCTTTTCCAGTGAGTCAACTCTTCCCATGAGGTGGCCAAAGTACTGGAGTTTCAGCTTCAGCATCAGTCCTTCCAATGAACACCCAGGACTGATCTCCTTTAGGATGAACTGGTTGAATCTCCTTGCAGTCCAAGGGACTCTCAAGAGTCTTCTCCAACACCACAGTTCAAAAGCATCAATTCTTCAGTGCTCAGGTTTCTTCACAGTCCAACTCTCACATCCATACATGACCACTAGAAAAACCATAGCCTTGACTAGACGGACCTTTGTTGGCAAAGTAATGTCTCTGCTAGTAACCAGCCATTACTCCAAGGCAAATACCCTCAACAGGGACCAGGCAGTACATATACTAGATGTTTCAGATCATGAGATCTCTGTCACAAGTACCTCAACCCTGTCTTATATATCAAACAAAGCCACAGACAAAATGTAAACAAATGAACATAGCTGTGTGACAATAAAACTTTATTCACAAAAAATAGGCAGCTAGCCAGATTTGACCACTAGGCAGTAGTTTGCCAATCCCTACTCTACAGAAATACTTGTATGTGTGATCCAGGAGACATGTACAACACTTTTCTTAGGACTTATTTATACTAGCAGCAAACTGGAAACAACCCAAATGTTCACTCACAGAAAAAGGGATTTAAAAAAAAAAAGGGCCATACTTCACAAAATGGAGTATGATATAGCAATGAAAGTGAATTATACTCTGGCTACCTGCAACAACACGAATAAATCTTACAAAATAATATTAAGTGGAAAAAGCAATTCACAGACGAGATATGCTATGATTTAATCATCAATATATGAGGTAATGGAGCTCAAAAAGCAAAACTAAATAAAATGCTACATTTCCTATGTACATGGGTGATTTAAAAAAAAAACTACAGGTATAAGTAACCATTGGGGAAAAAGCACAGGAATGGTAGAGTCACTGGGCTGTACATCTGACACTAGTACTGATATAATATCGTAAGTCAACTATACTTCAATTTTAGAAAACTACAAGAATGGTAGAAATTCAGGATGGACGTTACCTCCCAACAGAAAGCCAAAGATAAGATCAGGAAGGAGACCACAGTTGATTTCAATGATTTTGGTATTGTTCTAGGGCTTATATTGGTGTCACAGGCTCATAAATGTTTATAATTTACACATGTAGGAAGTATTTAATCTTGTATACGGAAGACATATATTAAATTTTTGTTTTTAATAAAAGGTAAACAATCTCTGTAATCAGCTGAAAAGTCCCAAAAAAGACTGCAGAGGCTACCTGTGGCTGGAACAGAAAGTAAAGAACTTGCCACTAATAAGCAATCAGGGTATTTATATTCCATGCCATCTTATCAGATCACGAGAAAACATCTCAGGGCTTCTAACTACCTCTTGAATTGAAAAAGAACTGACAAAAGCTACATGAAAAAGTTGACAAAGGTCCGTCTAGTCAAAGCCATGGTTTTTCCAGCAGTCATGTACAGATGTGAGAGGTGGACTATAAAGGAAGCTAAGCGCCGAAGAATTGATGCTTTTGAACTGTGGTGTTGGAGAAGACTCTTGAGAGACCCTTGGACTACAAGGAGATCCAACCAGTCCATCCTAAAGGAGATCAGTCCTGGGTGTTCATTGGAAGGACTGATGCTGGAGCTGAAACTACAATACTTTAGCCACCTGATGGCAAAGAATTGACTCATTGGAAAAGACCCTGATGCTAGGAAAGGTTGAAAGCAGGAGGAGAAGGAGATGACAGAGGATGAGGTGGTTGGATGGCATCACTGACTCAATGGACATGAGTTTGAGCAAGCTCTGGGAGTTGGTGATGGACAGGGAAGCCTGGCATGCTGCAGTGCATGGGGTCACAAAGAGTCAGACACGACTGAGTGACGGAAACTGACTGATGTGAAAAAGTATTGAAAACTACTCCAAGACTTAAAACATAAAAAAGTATTTGTTGGTTAATCGTCTTGAAGTTCAACTTTTTGCTATCTAAATAAGAAAATTTATAACTATGGCTCACAACTGTTATAAAACTTTTTTTTCATAGACCTATTTCAAGAAAGGTCTAACTAGAGTGCAAAGATTATGGAAGATAGGATTCTGGCACCATCTGGTGGCAGTGCACTGCAACAGCAGATTCTAATTTCTTTTTAAGATTAATTCTCTCACTGGTTCATTTACTAGGCATAGAACACACATTTTTAAATCTTTCTTGGAAGTCAGGAAATAAAACAAGGCTTAATATCTAAAACAGGTTCTCTATCTTCAAAGAAAAATATCTACAGTTAAATTTATGCCTATCACAATGTTTTAAGCATCTACTCTTATTAAAAGTTTGTTTCACGCATCTATGCCCCTAGAACTCTCAGGCAAGGAGGCCCTCAGGACTGCACTGGTAAACACAGCCTATGGAGTCACCATATCAGGACCAGTAAGCACATCAATGCAGTTTTCAGGGAAAAAACCTGTTGTGGCTTTAAAATATCCTCAAATTTCTGACACTCTGTGCAAAAGATAGAGCTTAATTTGTCTTTCCTTGAACATGGACTGAACTTAATGACCTGCTTCTAAAGAGAAGAAAGTGGCAGAAATGATGGTGTGTAACTTACAAAGCTAAATCATCAAAGGAATGGCCATTTCCATCTTGCCTGGGAGAGTCAGACATCATGCCACGAAGAGACTCAGGCAGCCTGCAGGGAGCTCTCCAGGGGAGAATCATGACCTCCTGCCAACAACCAGCCCCAGCCTGCCCCCTCGCACCCCTCGCCAGTATCTCCAAGCTCAGCCAGTCCCAAAGAAACAGAAATCAGTGTTTACTGTCATGGAAGCCCCTTAGTTTGTAGGTAATTTGTTACGTAACAATAACTAACACAAAAACTGATTACTTCCTAGAACCAAATTTTATCTTTAACAGGGAGTAAAAATAGCTCAGTTCAGCGTAATACTATAATTTACCTGCACATTAATAAAATTTCAAATTTTCCTTCCTAAGACACTAAGTAGGGATCCTGTTCTAATTCCCCCTGAATTGTTTCATATTATTTCATAATATTCAATTTCTAATTCAGAGAAACAACCACCCAAATAGATTTCAGTCTATCAGCAAAGATTTTCAGAACATCTTCCTTTTGGTATACTACACTAGTACCACCAGGGAGTGAGTGGAGAACCCTGCCCTTGAGGTACTTACCATTTAATTCAGATTAATATTCATAAAATAATTTATATTTCTTAATTATACTTTTTTCCCTGGTTCTAAAGGTTCTAGGTCAATGTTAGAAGGTTTGGAAAGTGTCTTCTTTACCTCTGTGAGGGATCCACAAGCTACACCACCATGCAGGGCTTCATCCAAAGCAGACAGGGTTGTAGACAAAAATGCTGATGAGTGAGCAGCACACCTCTGTGTCTTTATCTCATAAGCCTGATCAAAGGAAAAGTTAAGTTTTTTTCAACCTCGATATTTATTCAAAAACATAAGCCAACTCCAAATTCAAATTTTAGCAGCTAGAACCCAATTCATGTTTTTTTCCTTCTATTACTTATTTATTCTACAACTATTTACTCTGTGCCATGGACTGTGCTGGGCTTCCCTTGTGGCTCAGCTGGTAAAGAATCCACCTGCAATGTGGGAGAGCTGGGTTCGATCCCTGGGTTGGGAAGATCCCCTGGAGAAGGGAAAGGCTACCCACTCCAGTATTCTGGCCTGGAGAATTCCATGGACTGTATAGTCCATGGGGTTACAAAGAGTTGGATATGACTGACCAATTTTCACTTCACATGAACTGTGCTAGATTTGAAGGCTGTGATATAAAAGACAGAGCCCCTGCCCTCACAGGACTTATAGCCAAGTAGAGACTATGAAACTAGGACTAGAACGCAGGCAATTACAATACAGCTAAACAAGCTACTGGTGATACGGCAAGTGGAGACTGGCAAGTGGATTTGTCCAGGTCAAGTCACCTGATCTGAATTTTGTGATCAGGGAAGATCTGGATGTCTGAGCTAAAACCTGAAAAGGCTATGAGATGGGCAAAGGAAATGTGCACGTTCCTGCCAAAGGGACAAGAATGTAGAAAGAGAGGTCAAGGAGCAAGAAGTAAGAAATGGAAACTAAGGGAAATGACAAAAAAGAGGTGATTTAGAATGGCTGAAAGCTGAAGCATGCTCGTGGCATGGCAAACGATGAGCCTGGAGAAATAAGCAGGGGCTGCCTCCGATGAATCTTGCTGAAGTGTGGCATGTAGGCTGAGAGCAACAGGGAGTGACATGATCAAGCTACCACTTCAAACCGAGCTTGGTATGTGACGAACAGCTTGAAAGCGGGTGGTGTGGCCTAAGACACAGCCCCTCAAAAGAAAGCCGTATCAAATCCTTGGATACTGTGATGTCACCTTAGTTGGAAAAAAGGTCTTTGCAGATGTGGTTGACATGATTACATACCTACCAGCAATGTGTAAGCAATCTCTAACATTAAAAATTACTAGCACTAAGTTGCCCAAATAAACTGAGGTCAAGCCACAGAATCGTAAAATTCATTCACTCATTCATTCAACAAATACAAATTAATTGCCTACTCCATGCTATATAATATGATAAGCTCTGGGAATGAGTGGTAAACCAAATAGACATAGTTTCTACCCACTTAAAGCTTACAATTTAATGAATCTAGGTCTCAAATCCAAGCTCTTCTGCCTCTATGAGCACACAGGAGACCAACATATTAATACAGAGATGGCCAAAAAGTTCCATCAGTAACTCCACCAGTTTCCTTCTTCAGTGGCTGCTTCCCAGATCCACCGTTGGCAGATCTGATCTTTAAATGCTGACTGACTCGGGACTTGGCCTTGGGTACACTTACTTTTTTTTTTCCCACACTGACTTTCTTACTGTGCATACTTTCTAGGCAATCTCCCATCCATTTTCATGGTTTTGACTACCATATTCATCCTGATGACTCCCCAGTGGACACTATCCTTCAAGCTTAGGTCCACATATTTAGCTGCCTACTTCACATCTTCATTCAGTGTTTCACAAGTGCCTAAACTCAGCAAGTACTAATAAATCCATGATCTGCCTCCCTCAAACCTGATCCTCTTCCAATATTCCTTATCTCAGGAAATGGTACCATCTAGTCTCTTAGAGCAAAATCAAGGAATCATCTCTGACCCTTTCCTGTACCTCACCACCACCCACAGACAAATCACCACCAAATCCTATTCATGCTACCTCCTACATATCGCTCATGGTAACTGACATTATACCATTGGCATTAACACCACACTAATAGTCCATGTCACAATCTGTCTGGAATATGGTCACAGATACCTAACTAGTCCACAAATATTTCCTTGTTCCTTTTCAACCACTTGTCTGCGTTTAAAGACTGAGTTTTTTAAAAACACATACTAGAAAATCACTCTCTTTGATGACTTATGATTGCTCTCAGAATGAAGTCCAAAATCCTTAACAGGCCTGCAGGCCGCAATGATCTGACCCTGCTTGCTTCTCCAGCTTCATCTCTTGCTCGCTATGTTCACTCAGACCGGCCTGACCTTCTGACCATACAAGCACCATTCTCCTGCTCTTCACAGGGTCTCTGCATTTCCCACTCCCGCTGCCTGCAAGCTCTTCCCTGCTGCCCTCCCTTCCCAATCCCTTTGGCTGTCTCTCTCCTATTCATCCCTCAGGTTTCAGCTGAAGTGTTGCCTCGTGAGGGAGACCTTGCTGACCCTTACACTAAGTAGTGTCCCTTTCCGTTTCTAAGCTCTTCGTACTTTTCTCTGATAGGACTTATCATTACTATAATTAATTAATCATTTATACAATTGTTTGTTTAACGTGACTGTTCCCACTAGACTGTAAGCTACACAAGGGCAGAAAACTTTATCAATCATCTTCACTACAGTATCTCCAGTACCTGACAGATCCATGGCTGGCACTCGATAAATACTGGTTGAAGGAATAAATGACTGAATAAATAACCAACAAAACAAAAAATCTTTCTGAGGGAATGAACTAAGGCTAATTCAATATTTATGGCAGGACTCTAAACAATCAATGTTACAAAAGTAAATGTACAACAAAGAGAAAGATGGCTCCTTGAACTGGCAATTGGAATTGTAGTGACATTGCAACTGAAAGTGGTGAAGGACGTGGAGATCGAAGGTGAATTTCCTAGCCATCCTCTCCTGCTTAATTATCTGACTAGGAATATGCAATACATATTGAATCACAGATGTCAAATTAAAAGGTTCTCTTGGTGCTTTACAACTTTCAAAATAGTGACAGGTTAATTTGAACCTCCTAATGAAATCATCACATATGATTTTAACTCTTTAACTTCTCCCATAAAACAAAGTGAGCTGTTCAAAGCTACTTATCTTTGTTGAAACCAATGACAAAGCTAAGACTAGGGCCCATCTCTATTTCCAATTCTAAGTCACCTTCTGATGATTCTGTCTTTAAAGTATTTTCCTTAGATCACAAGCAAAACGAACAGAAGAAAACACTCAACCTGTTCATTGTTTTCAAAGTTTCAGATGACACTAATATTCCTTCATCCCTCCTCCACAGAGTTGGATCCTACTTTATTGCTCACTGGTTACCAAATTTCAATATAACATAGTAAGTAGTTTACAACCCACACAAATAAATACATTTTCAAAACACTGGACAGACTTTCAGGTAACTCTTACTCTGAGAAAATAAGACATTTTCTACCATGCACTAAACCTACATTTTGAAAAGCTAAAGACATGACACAGAAAGTATGAAATAAGAGTACAACTTGATTTGGGCTTATTTCAAAAGACTTTAACTCCTCTCAGGAGTGAGGATAAGTTTTAAAGCATTATTCATTCAATCAATAAGTCAGTGTAAGTCCAATATGCATACTCTGAGATGTAGAGTAAATGATGATGGTAAAAGTTAGTATTACAGAGACAGGGACATTCTAAAATTAATAGTATATTATAGTTTAACCATGAGGTTCACAAATCCTCCCCAAACAAATAAAAGAGAAAGATGAACTTTTGAAATAACACTGCCAGCTATAGAGAAAAAAAATTCCTGTTACCTCTCATTCCTGTAACTGTCTCCCATGAGCTTATAAACAACATAAATTTATTCTCATTAGAGGACTAACTCTTATGTTGTGAGGGTTGGTATTTTTGAGGTGTTTATCTCTATTTTTGCTTTTACCTTATCCCCTAAAAGATTTTAAAGAGAATTCAGAAGCTTTTCAAAATAAAAATCATAACCAAATCATAAGTCTAAAATATATATATACCGTTTGCATCTGTGGTGCACAGGCCCTGCTAACCACACACAGAAGTTCATGGACACCTTGATAACTAAGGCCAGTCATCTTCATAAGCTCCAGTGGGGAAAGACATAGAAAGTCCTAAAAAACATAAAGAGACTATTTTAAATATGCATGTACAACAAAGATACTGGAATTAAAAGGAAGCTTTCAATTGACACTGTCCATGTGTAAATAAAAGCGTAATTTATTGTAGATCAGTTTGTATGTTTCTTATAGTATTTTCCTCCTAAATATTCCTTTAGTTAAGATATGACATAATCTTATCTTTTAATTATCCAACTTAGTATATACCAGAGGACACACCAAGTAAAAATACATAGCGGCAAAAATCAGCCCAAGTGGATATGAGCACTGCCCCTGTACCCAAAAGTTTGGACACAAACAGACAACCAGAAATGACATCAGTTTCATCCTAAGCTATAAAATCATTCAGAGGAAGTATTTAATAATTGAGAGAGAATAAAACCAACTATGGACTGAAATGTTAAATATCATATTTTTAAGAGTGTTTCAAAGTATGAACATGAAGGTTATCAAATGTATAACAGAGAAAGCAAAGATATCATTAACACACAAAGCAATTGAAAAAAGGAAAAAAAAAACCTGCAGCATTCTCTAAAAGTCCATCTTATCAAAGATTAAATCCTAATCTAAAATGTTAAATCTAATTTAACCTCCTAAGAGGGATTTTCTTTACTCTTGTGCTTAAATATACAGCATCCACTTTATATATTTTTCTCACTCCACTGATAGAAAAATAATCCTAAAAATTTTTCTTGCTTTCAAGAGAAATTACCCATTTTGAATACTGTCTCCTCATTTGAGTCATATTTCCCATGTAACTACAGAATTTCTTTTACAAGGACAAAACTTCTCTAGAATCCCAAATAAATGGCCAGGTGTATTTCACCTCCTGCCATTAGCATCCTCCTGACCCAGCCCTAACCAAAATGTAAAACTCTTGAAATGAAATCACATTTGGAAATACAAGCTAAGAGGTTTCTTATTTTGAATTAGCAAGCACCATCATTTATCTTTTTTTATAAGCCTAAAAGTTCATATTTCAGATGCAATTAAGAGTTATTGGGAGGGAGGTTCAAGAAGGAGGGGACATATGTATACCTACGGCTGATTTATGTTGATGTATGGCAGAAACCAAAACAATATTTTAAAGCAATTATCCTCCAACAAAAATAAACACGTTTTCTAAAACTTTAAGCAAAATTTTTTTAAGAAAAGAGTTATTTAGGTACACTTAAGATTAATTTGCACTTAAGTTTTCTCACTGAGAAAAATTAAATTGTACCTGACAGGTAACGATCTGATGTCTGTTCAGACGGTCACACAGCTCTTGTGATAAACCCACTCGTCTTAGTTTCTTGCTACCCATGCCTCCAGATGCAACAAGAAAAAGAACCTTGAAAAAACACTGGGAAATAGTATAAGCAGTAGCAGATGAGTGATCCACAACAATCTGCAAAATAAAACATTTTCAAGCCTCTCCATATATAAAATGAAATGGTATTTAAAATATTACTGATAAAATAAAAGAAGGCTATAAATCTTTCTAAATACTTTAAATAGGGGAGACTACTGTTTGTCAAACATGGAAAGAAACAATGTAAGAATCTGCATTTCACAAAAATTCTTTAAAAACTTATTACACAAATATAATAATACCATTTCACATTTATAAGCATCTAAAGATTTTCAGTTCATTCATAAACTTTATTTGTATGTGTAATTAATACAAATATTTCCAAAGAGCACTCCCAGAAAGTCTGCTTTCATTGCACTGAAACAATAATAAATTTATTGACCACCTTCTATGTATCACGCATTGTTCCAAAGCTTTATATCAATTGCCACATTTAAGCTTCTCAACAGCCCTATAAGAAAGGTTGATGACTGATCCCATTTTTACATATGAGAAAACTAAAGTCTGGAAAGGTTAGCCATTCCACTGTTACCTGAAAAAGTAAATGGTAGATCCAGAATTTGAACCCAGGAAGTCTGACTCTGAGGCCTATCCTCTTAGTCAGTACACTCTTCTACAAGTCCATAATCATACTGAACCTCTCTTTTTGGAGTCAGAACAAATATCCTGAATCAACTGAGATTTTGTTATTTCAGGTGTCATTTAAAAACTGAAATTGTTTTTTATTACAGTTGCTGCTCACATTCCCACATGCAATTACATTTCACTCTTGCTATTGAACCCTATGAGGACTAAATGAGGCTCATGAAATATGTGCCTTCAGAGAGTAAGAACAGAATCACTGTGATTCTCTTAATAACACAAGCAAAGGAGAAGCTGTATTACACTCAGATGGCAGAATATCCTCTGGATAAAATAGAAATAGGGACTCTCCATTGTTCCAGGAGATAAAACAATAAAATGATCAGAAAAAGAGTTACATTTGGGAACTAAACTATTCACTGAGAATGTAGATATTCATTTCCAATACCATGGCCCAAATTTCTAATCAGATTAACACTTTTTCACTCTCCCTCATCTTTCTCTCTCACACACACACACATCCCTCCCACAACCACAAAATAAATCCTTCTCATTTCACTCAAAGGGAATTTGTCAGTGTTGGGTTTTGTGTCTCTAATAGAAAGTTTACCAAGTGACATCTGCTGAATCATTGCCCAGGGTCTTCACATACCAGGTAGCTCTGGGCAGTGACATCATTTTGACTAATAAATTCAACCCAAAAAAGAGAACAGGGCTTCCCTGGTGGCTCAGTGATAAAAGAATCCACCTGCCAATGCAAGAGACACAGGTTCGATCCCTGGGTCAGGAAGATCCCCTGAAGAAGGAAATGGCAACCCACTCCAGCATTCTTGCCTGGAAAATCCCATGGACAGAGGAGCCTGGTGGGCTACAGTCCATGGGGTCGCAAAGAGTCAAACACAACTGAGCACACACACACACACATCACTTGCCTAGACTACTCACACTGCCTCTGGTCATTCCCTGCCCTGCATACCCACCCCCCCAACCCACAAAAAAATAAATTGTTTGTTCCTTTCACAGATGCTTCTTAAGCACATATTCTGCTGAGTGCTGTGGCACAAGAATCACTTAAGTATATTTCTCCCCTTTGGAAACTCACAGTAAAAGATGAAAAGTAATATATACACAAATAATTAGTCATGCAGCAAGTATTGTCATTGGAATTTAAATGTGCTATGGCAACTCACTCCAATACAGTTGCCTGGAGAATCCCCCTGGGCAGCTACAGTCCACAGAGTGACAAAGAGTCAGACACGACAGCAACAAGAACACATACACTCAGATGGAAGCAGAGAGGAATACGCACCAAACTGACCCACAAGTCACAATCCTGTCAGAGGTAGCCTCCTAAAAATGTGCTCCAATCCTGTCACTCTCACCCTTTCAAACTGCCCGTGGGACCATGAGACCACAGGATAAACTCCACATTTCTTATGATGGCCTAAAGCCTCTTGGTGAACTGGTCCCTCACTTTCCTCTCATTCATATATCAGATCGCAAGGCCCAGATTCTGACCTTTCTGGTAAAATCGCTTGCCTCCCAGTATCTCACCTTCCTCATCTGAAAAACAGACATCGTTTAAATATCTACTTTGCAGGAATGTAGTGAAGGTTAGAGGGTGTGGATGGTGCCTGGCTCCTACTGCGAACAATTACTATCAACTCATTCAGCAAAACAGCATTTGCTACCTCAGGTGACCTGCCTCCCAACCATAACATTGATAGGTTACATAAGGGCCATCCTGCCTCCCTGATTTTCCTCCACAAAGACTTCCTGCTTACTCTTTCTCTCCAATATTCTCATCACATTGTGTACTCATTTGTTCGATAATCTTATTAACATGTTATGAGTTGAACGTTTGTTTCTTCCACGGTAAATTCCTGCTCTGCGTATATATGCCAGTGCATGTAAACAAGGGTGTGAGGGAAGAAGTTCGATCCTTGAAAGTGAATCCTCTTCTTATCAAGAAAAAAAAAAAATCCTCACGATTGAAAACTGTCAATTAACAATAGCTAATATTTCTTGAGCCTTTATTACATGCCAATTTTCCAAGAACTCCTATTTTTACCCCATTTTATAGTTTGATATTGAGGCACTGAGATGAAAGAGTTAATCAAAGCCTAACATCTAGCACAAGGTGGAGTCTGCATTCGAACCCAGGTATCTGACTCCATATTCCACACTATTCAGTACCTCTAATTCAACAACACCTGAAGACAGGCAGACACTCAATTTCCCTTAATGACTGGCTCTCCTTCCTAGACCTCAAACTGCCCACACGTGGGAAGATGGATAGACATCAAGAGGCGAAAACATCATCCCTGAACAACAGCTCTTCCCAACAAGGTGCAGCTTCCACGCAACCCCCACAAAGGAAGACCAGACCCGCTAAGATCTGCGGCTGGGCTCAAGTTAAGATCCCAGTGTACCTAAGGGGGCGTGCGCCTGCACCCAAGAGTGGCTTTCCACTCCCCCGATATCAACACCACGTGCCCAGAGAGGGCGCAGGAAATAATAAGCGCACCCCATTTCCCCAAACCACCCGCAAGAGGAAACTTTCCAGTACCGGGTTCTGCAGCATCCAACTTTCAAAGTTTCCCCTATCCCTTACACAGTTCCCCGCGGAAAGTGATGAAAAGCAACAACCGAAGCGCTGGTTGGGTCGTCACACTGGGGAACTATCCAATAAAAGGTAGGCACAGGCCCAGGGCGGCTCCGCTGCTTGCTGGGAATTGTAGTTCACACTCGCTAATGTCTGTGAGTCCCAGTCAATTTCTCATTATAGTGATTATCAACATCCGGTGGAGGAATATCAGCAAGGAGAATACCGTGCCAGAAAATAACTTTCTTTTAATTTTCTATTCTTTATTTTGTCACTTCACTTAAAAACTGCTTAATGGACCAGAAAGACAAGTTAATTTTCTGAGAATAGATGAGAATCCACCAATCATCCAAGTTTTGGAAGAGAATTTTTGGTTTGCTTTGGTTTTTTCTCCACCTTTGGTGGTGATAGTTCGGAAAATATTGAAATGAAACTGCTCAAACCGAAAATATGTAACGGGGAAAAGTCCGAGTCTATAGCTGAAGAACATGAAGGAAACCAGAAAGTTCAGTATAAAAGCAGCTGTGATGAGGAAACCTAGTAAATTGTTTTAAGACTCAATTTCAGATTATTATGTTTGAGAATGGCTTTTTGCTAATTCTTTGCTCTCATCTCCCCTGTGCACACCTCTGTCTTATCATTTAGCCCACTGCATCCTAACTATTGACTTACACCCCTCAGTAGACTGTGATCTCTTTGAGGACAAGGACTGCGTCTTCTTCAGCTTCTAAAGTAGAGTCTAGCGCACAGTTCACGGCTGTCGGTTCAGTTCACTTCAGTTCACTTGCTCTTTGCGACCCCATGAACCGCAGCCCGCCAGGCCTCCCTGTCCATCACCAACTCCCGGAGTCCACCCAAACCCATGTCCATTGAGTCAGTAATGCCATCCAACCATCTCATCCTCTGTTGTCCCCTTCTCCTCCTGACTTCAATCTTTCCCAGCATCAGGGTCTTTTCAAATGAGTCAGTTCTTCACATCAGGTGGCCAAAGTATTGGAGTTTCAGCTTCAGCATCAGTCCTTCGAATGAACACCCAGGACTGATCTCCTTTAGGATGGACTGGTTGGATCTCCTTGCAGTCCAAGGGACTCTCAAGAGTCTTCTCCAACACCACAGTTCAAAAGCATCAATTCTTCAGCGCTCAGCTTTCTTTATAGTCCAACTCTCACATCCATGCATGACTAGTGGGAAAACCACAGCCTTGACTAGACGGACCTTTGTTAGCAAAGTAATGTCTCTGCTTTTTAATATGCTGTCTAGGTTGGTCATAAGTCGGTAAATGAGCAAATAAATAACGGGTGTTAAGCAGAAGGAACTGGAAATTCAGAACGTAGGGTTCTGGAATTACAAGGGAGTCCAAGTGGACGGAATAATAACGGAAGACTTAAGTCTCCTTTATCTGGGTATCCCCAGGGCGTGGCAAAGCATTGTCACTGGCTGGCCCTAGGTAAACGCTAACTTCAAACTAGGAGGAGAAAAGAAAACAAAAGAAAAAAGATCAAGGCAGACAGCTATTCCTGCCACTCGCTCCATCGAAGGCAAAACGGAAGGTATCAAGCGGAGGAACTGTCAGAACTATGAAGGATGGTCCTAAAGCACGTATCTGGTATCGCTTTCCCAGCTGGCTAGCTTCCTCAGCTACTGAGGTAGAGTCACGTGACCCAAACAAATATGGCGCTTTATTTGCATCTTTCCTCCTCTGACCAATTACAGTAGCCGATGTCAATCATCATCCCCGCCTCCCCCCGCCCTCCCCCACCGCCCCCAGCCTGCAGAACGAGATTTGTCACCTGACTCGGCTCAAACATGGCTTCACTGGAAGATGTACAGATTTGGGCACCGGGAGCGGGTGAGTGTAAGGCGCCCCGAAAAGGCAGGAGCGCTCTCCACGATCCCGGTAGGAAGCGTCCCTGCGCCCCAATCCCCACCGCCCTCCAGTTCTCACACCGATTCCTCTCCTGATCATCAGTGCTCTGCCTTAAAAGAGGGCTCAAACTAGGGAGGTTCCTGCTGAATTTCTCATCTTTAAGGAGGCGACCACCTGGGGATTTGGAGCCGGATTGGGCATAAAGTTCAGGAGGAAATAAGGAAGTGGAGTTTTGGGTCTGCGTCGCTGGCTAATATGACGATTAATATTAATCAAATATTGGGTGCGCCTAGAGAAATGGGATCCACCCCTTGGGGAAAGGGAACTTCTCCAAAAGAGACACAGTAACATGTCTAATTAGAAAAGTAAGCCCTGCCTTTCCTCGTGCGGGTATTGCTAGTTTGTCTTATTCCTTCCTTTTCTTCTCTCTCGGATGTGTATTGTTTCTAGGAGATAGTCCTCAAATGAGAAAAAAGCCGATGTGTTTTGTGTAATTCATCTGTTTCTATCTCCCTGCACTGTGTGCTGGGGAAAATGCACCATCCATTTGGAAAAGAGGAAGCTGCTTCCCAGAAGCAGCTTTTAGGATTTTTCTGTGAGTGCCTTCGGAGAGGAGACTGGGAACTGGCAAAGGCATGCGTACCTCAGCTACACGAGGCACAAGGGGATATCCCAAAGAAGGTGGAAGATATACTTTGGGCGCTGGTCCTGTGTCCCAATCAGCTGAGGTAAGGGATCTCTCGCTTCCTGTCATATAGTCACAGGACGAACAGGAAAGGTTCAATACTTGAGCTCGGGTCCACGTGCCTCACTCAATCACCTTTGAAGAATTAACAAAGGCAGATTGTATTTCACGTGTTCTGAAATTTTACTTCTATAATATTGATACATGCCTGTATATTACTTAATCAGTTTGGCTTTAAACTATCATCTGAGACTGCATTTAAGCCTGGAACCAGCATTTCATGTTTATTATCATTAATAATAAAGCATTTTCTTTGCCTCCATAAGAGCAAATCCTGCTCCCTTCTTGCTTGTGAAATTGAAGATATTGTTGTAACTTTAACAAAGGACCAGAAGTGAGTTCACTTAAAGCTTTTTATTTTGAAATAATTAATTATAGATTCACAAGAAATGCATAAATAATACAAAGAGTACCCTTTCCCCAACTTCCCCCAATTGTGACATCTTATATAACTATAGTCAATATCAAACCAAGAAATTGACACCAGTACTGTTAACTAGGGGGGGCTTCCCTCATGGCCCAGCGGTAAAGAATTCGCCTGCCAATGCAGGAGACTCAGGTTCAGCCCCAGGGTCAGGAAGATCCCCTGGAGAAGGAAATGGCTACGAACTCCAGTATTCTTGCCTGGGAAATCCCATGGACAGAGGAGCTGGCAGGCCATGGGGTCGCAAAGAGTTGGACACGACTAGGCGACTAAACCACCACCACTGTTAGTTAGACTACAGCCCTTATTCAGTTTTCACCATTTTTTTAATCTGCATTCTCTTTTTTTTTTTTGGCCGTGCTGCACTGCATGCAGGATCCTAGTACCCCAACCAGAGATGGAACCCACACCCCATGCATTAGAAGTTCGAGTCCCAACCACTGGACCACCAGGGTAGTCCCAATATGTATTCATTTTTATGTGTGTAGTTCTGTGCATCTTCATCCATTCTTAGATCATGTAACACCCACTATAATCAGGCATCACTGCAAAAGAATTCCCCCGGTCCCTGGGACTACCTGTTTGCACACTGATTCCTATCTTGTCCCCTGGCAACCAGTGTTCTCCGTGTAAATTTTGAAGTTCTTCCTGGCAGTGCTATTAACAGTTAGTGGTATAGGAGTTAAACTTCAGTCTTTTCCCTCATTTTTCCTTACTCTGGCAGTTATTTATAAGAAAGTATTGTATTAGCATATATAGAATGGAGATTTACATGATTCTTTTCTTCCTTTTTTTTTTCCTTTAAATTTGGATTCTAGTCAATTACTGTCTAAACTACTAACTTCAAAGAAAGGCTTATGAACTCCTATAATTCCGTTTTGTATGCTAAGTCGCTTCAGTCATGTCCAACCTTTGCAGCCCTGTGGACTGTAGCCTGCAAGGTTCCTATGTCCATGGAATTCTCCAGGCAAGAATACTGGTGGGAGGGGGGACCGGGATGGGGAATACATGTAAATCCATGGCTAATTCATTTCAATGTATGACAAAAACCACTGCAATGTTGTAAAGTAATTAGCCTCCAACTAATAAAAATAAATGGAAAAAAATGAAAAAAATGAAAAAAAAAAAAAAAGAATACTGGAGTGGGTTGCCATTTCCTACTCCAGGGGATCTTCCAACACAGGGACTGAACCCAGCTTTCTAATGTATCCTGCATTGGCAGACAGGTTCTTTACCACTAGGGCCACCTGGGAAGCCCCAATCCTATTTTTAGCATAGAGTTAAAAATAAATTTTTATGAACTTTCTGGTTTCTTTGATTACTTGATTTCAGTTTCTATTTCAAGATTTCAAGTTTTCTGTTTCAGATAGCTTTGCTTTTATGGTTTTTGGTGGAATATTATTTTGCTTAAAAATAAGAAAGACTAAATAAGGAGATAGAGTTAGAATTAAGAACTTTTCCTTTTTTTCTTAAGTGAATGCTGCTAGTTCTGTTCTGATTCTCCCTTTACTGATCTGTCACATACATTCAAAATTTTCTCATTAGGGCAATATCTTGCCTGTTCAGGTGTAAAACAGACTGAGAAGTGAAATCTAAATTTTGCATCACAAAGAAGAAAAAAATCAGTAGAAACTCTGTTTAGAATTTTTTTTCTTTTTACATTTTTCAGATGTGGACAGGATATCAGTCCTCAAAGATTAGCCTGGGTTTGGCTTCTTGTACTGGAAAAATGGTTGGCCCTGGAAAAGGTAAATAGGTTTACATTTCAAATTTTCTCCTGAGGCCAGGAGAAAAGAACTTGGAAGGAGTTGTGAAATTTCCCTTCTGTCTGCTGCTTCCTTTATTCTGAGGTTTGTTGTATTCCTGTTTCAGTACTGACAGTGAGGTTGGCTTGAATATTTACTGATGTCTCCTTACCTAAATTCATTTATTAATTTACTAACCTACATTGGCAATGAGTCACCAACCTACCATTTGAGGTGATACCATTGTGTTAAAAACCACTGTGACTCTTGTGCTGGAACAGAACTTTGGAAAACTCAGGTGAAAGTGACAAGATTGTGAATCAAGTCTAATTCTCGTAATACTCAAGTAATGGAGAATGGCTGAATCAAAACTTGGTTGTTGATACAAAAATCATATTTTAACTAGTCCAGTACAGTGAAATCTTATTGATTTAAACATCATTAATTAATAAGTTAATAACTCACATGACTTGAACTAAAAGTTACCAAATAAAAAACTGAATAAATTAATAGTGAAAGAAAACATAAGGAAGGGTTTAGAGTTTGTTTTTATTTTAAGAAAAATTACCATTCTTAGCTCTTTTAGAAATATGTGTTAATTATCAGAAATAAATATCTATTAAAGAAACTCTCTGAGGCACTTTGGTATTAAAGCTGACACTTTAAGATTTAAGTGAGGAACCTCTGACTCAAAAAAGAGATGACTGGCTCAAGGTCACACCATAAAGTTAGTTGGCTGGAACCACTGTCTTCTGCCTCCAACTCCTCGGTCCTCTCCTTTTCCCACCTCAATGTTATCTTTAGCCTACATGGACTTGAAAATAAGAAACCGTAAATTCTGTTTTATAAATGTCTATAATTCAGCCTAATTTTCTTCTTCCTTTCTCTTGGTCATCAAAATGAATTTTGTGTTTAGTTCTGAATTTGCCTGACACTTTTCTTCACATAAACGTCAAAAAGTACCAGAAGTTACTAATGTAAATGCATTCATCATCCAGATTTTTGATAATGGACTAGCAAAGAGAAATGACAAAAAAGGTCAGCAGCAGAGGGAAGGATGAGAAGCAAACTGAAAAATAATCAACCCCAGGGTGATTCAGAGTTGGCTATAGTTTCAGATCTAAAAGAGACATCTTCAACTAGAATATCCAAAAGTTTCTTCAAAGAGAAAAGGGGAAGAAAATGTCTTACTGTTACCCAGGACCTTCTCAGTACACCCATGGAATTTGTCAAACCAGATGAACTTTGTCTTCATGGAGCATATTTGCTTACTCTATGCTAATTGGTGGTGGTTAAATTTCTGCACAGTTGCTCAACCAGATCTGAAGGTGAATTTCACTTCCCCGGCTCCTTTTCACAGACTTAAGAGTTGTTTTTCCCAGCATTGAAGATCATCTGGTCCTTTAAGCCCCATTACCTCAGTTATATAAGCAGTTTAGGGAATGTTTTAAACTTTGTACAAGGACCTCAGAGAATTTTAAAACTTTATACAAGGACCAAGACTTCAAATTCATTCCTGGAGTAGTTCCACAAAGCCAGTCTTTATCCTAGACCGGCCTTCATCTTCTAGGGACTTGCTGGCAGCTCCTTCTCCTGTCTACCACCTGCTACTGAAAGATCCTTTTTAATTATCTGATGAAACAGTGCTTCCATTTTCCCTCTCCTTCGTCCATTTTTGCCTTCTGCCTTTTTATGTTTTATCATGTGAAAAGTGTAATGTTCACAGCCTGCTGCTTCTAAAAGAGGAAAAATGGAAACAGCTCCCATGTCCACAGTCCAGAACTGATTAATCTATTTGTAAAATACCATGGCACTGTTAAAATTATGTGGTAAATGAATTTTCGGTCTTGTGGAAGGATATTTGTATTCTGCTATGTGAAGAAAAAGCTGTTTAGAAAACAGTATTTGTTATGCATGCCTATATATGTATATAGAAAATGGTCTGAATACTCTTAGAATACAGTTGCAATTATAGTTCTCCTTTAGTTGAAAGATTTGGGGTATGTGTGTGTTGTGAATGTGTGTTTTCATTTGCTTGTTTGTATTTTTCTACCTTGAACGTGGCATTGATTTTATAATAAGAAAATCTGTGCTTAGAAACATTGGGCAAATTCTTGCTTGTTTTACAAATATTGGATGTTTATGACCCTGCAGAGGCATAAAGTAACCTCACCAGTAGAAAAAATACAAGCTAGTCAGTCTTTAGGACTTTAAGTGAAAGTCCTAAAATCTTAACCAGTTCTTTTATTAAGAGCCTGCTCTCTGGCGTTATCTACTGCTTCCTCTTAGTCCTCAATGGAATCACTAACTTTGAGCTTGCCAGAATGAATTTTCTTTACCACCTTCCAATCACTAGCATTATGCAAGGATTCAGGTGGCATAGAGCGTTAAGGGAGGGCATCGTAAGAAGGATTTTGGACCAAGAACATACTAGATCTTATTAGCCTCTGATGTAATGAATGACACACGAATAAAGTAAGCGTGCTCTTATGTTCTAAACTTCGCTTAACAGACACACAATCCTGCTGGTGCTTCTTGCCTTGATTTAGGAGACTTTTCAATAAAACCCATCATCTGGAAGATTTAACCAGCTGCAAGATTTACAGGTGTCTCTAGTTTTTAAAGAGTGCTTGTCAGGATTAGTCCCAGGCTTTCATCTTATTTGAATTTGTGCCTAGAGAAAGGGGAACTATCATTTTAGTTTTGAGAACCAGGTGAAGGGAAGTTACTGTGAAACAAGCAGGTACAGAATAAGTCAGAAGCTTTCTCTTCCCTCATGCATTAGTCTCCGATGACATGTCTCTAAATTAACAAACATCTTCCTTTTCATGCTTGAAATGATTGGAAAATACTTCCTAATCATTTCATCTTTACTGAAGATAGTGTTTTAAAACATCCCAAGGCCATAGGTTTGTTGATTTAGCAATTAAATGAGATTTTTAAAAGCATGTGAAAACGTGCACATAGTAACTGGCACAAAATAAGTGTTTCATGAACATTAGATCTCTCCCCCTTTAATTTTCTAACTAAAAATGGAAATAAAAAACAGGGTGTTGGTCCAGAAAAGTATCACATGGGCCATTCCATCCCAACTTACTCATAACTGGGTAATTTGGGACACCACAAGGAAGATTCTTGGAGAAGGTCCTCAAGTTAGAGAGGAAAAAAAAATCACATGAAATGAACAAGCCTTGGCATTTGAGGCTGATCAGTATGGGATTTCAGTGTTAGTATTTAAGGGGAGTATATGTTCAGTTTAGCTGTTTTTGTTTATAAAGAAAAAAGTGTCTGAATGAAAACATACCTAGAAATATAATGGTCTAAAGTACTTTATCAAAAAAGAAAGTACTTTATCTTAGAGAAAACAGCAGAAATAAGCTGAACCAGACAGAAGTACTTACTTATAGTTGTCAGCTAAAATATAGTCTTTTTTTTTTTTTGGCTGCTTCATGTGGTGTGGGGGATCTTAGTTCCCTGACCAGGGACTGGACTTAGGCCCACTGCAGTGAAACCACTGGACAGTCAGGGAATTCCCTTAAAACATATTCTTAATCTCTATGCTTCCTTCTTATGATTCTTCCAGAAGTTACTCCCACCTGGCTTCCGGAGAAAACTTGAGTTTCTTTTATTGTCAGAAGACCTCCCAGGTGACATCTCAGAGGACATCCTCAAGGTGAGAGACAGCCCTAGCTGTCTGCCCAGGGGTGCAGTCACTCAAGAAGCTCAGCTTTCATGGATCCAGCAGAAACAAGCCCTCAGGATGTTGGCTGTTCACTTTTCTCAGGCCAGACCAGGGGGAGGCCGCTTGAAAGAAATTTAGAGATAGGGAAATCTTATCTAATTGTAGACTTCCTAGAAGTGTTTTGGCCAGAAGTACTAAATATAGCTCTGCAGAAGGAAATGGCAACTCACTCCAGTAGTCTTGCCTGGGAAAATCGCATAGGCAAGGGGGAAAAAAAAAAAAAAAAAAAATCCTCCTTCTGTAACAGGTGCATTGAATATGTTATAGTTAATCCTCACAGCCACCTTCTGGGAGCAGATTCAGAATCTTAACTAGATCTGTCCTTTAGTGCATGAGGGATGCTCTGAGGCTTAATGCTTATTTTCTTCATGACCTGGCCACCAGCCAATGAAAGACATATTTATAGTAGGATTTAAGGTAGGGACTTTCACTAGAACTCAAGGTTCTTTGACCATCTCGGAAGCAGGTAATAAAGAAGTATCCCTGAGCACCACCCACAGGAATGAAGAGTGGAAATAACGTACCAAACAAATTATAGGTTCCAGAGATCTGCCTTTTAAAGACTTACAGTCTAGTGGGGGAAGAAGGAAATACACACATAGCACAATTATGTACTAAACCATATGGTACTGAGCCCCATAAAGAGGGAGAGTTGTGTGGGTTGGAGGTACTGAGGAAGGTTTTATGGAAGGATAAAAAAATGGGTTGTATCTGCAATGTTATGTGGCAGCCTGGATAGGAGGGAAGTTTGCAGAAGGTTGGATACATGTATATGTATGGCTGAGTCCCTTTGTCCACCTGAAACTGTCACAGCATTGTTAATCTGCTATACTCCAATATAAAATAAAAAGTTAAGAAAAAATAAACAGTCAAAAAAAAAAGACTGTATCTAAAATCTTGCTTGGGATTTAGATCAAGGGTTAAAAACTAGTCTGTAGTGTTCTTTTAAAAATTGAATTTAAGTGCCTTGACATGAGTACAGGGTCTTATAAAAATTTATTACCTGGTCTCTGAGCTTGCAGTCCCTGATTTAGTGTGACAGTGTACATTTTAGGGGCAACGGGGTTAGGGGTGTGGATAGACTAGCTTGAGCATGGAGGCCTTGGGCAAATCTCTCTTTGCCTCAACCCCCTAGTTTGAGGACACCTTCAAAATGAGAATAATAGTCATGTCTTCTTCTTAGGTGGTTTTCAGTACTAATTTTTCTGTCTAAAGAATCTGGCACATAGTAGCGCCTACAGAAACGTTTGCTACCACTGCTATTATATATACCCATGCATGTATACACTGAAAAGAGGGAAACATCGAGGCTTATAAGTGATAACATGGACATACCACCCATCTCTGTCTTCATCCTCTATTTAGGAGCTGTACGCAGTCTTAGCACACGACAGAGTGGACCCTGTGCTTGATGGAAACCTGAGGCAGGAGAGCTGGCCCCCTCGGCTCAGCCCAGAAGCTGTCTCTGTGCTCTGGGATCTCTTGAGGGAGGCCCCCCAGGTCGCACAGGCCCTGCTGGAGCTCCTGCTTGGGGAGGTTGATGGTGCGGGCCTCCAAGGCTGGCCTCTGCAGAAAGCCCTGGTGGACCTCATTCGAAAGGCACTGCGAACATTGCGGGGCCCTACCGCCGCGCCCCCAGGCACAGTCGATGCCATCTACGGGGCCCTGCGGACGCTGCGCTGCCCTGCAGAGCCGCCTGGGGCTGAGCTGCGTCTCCTGTGTGAGGAGCTGCTGGAGGCCTGCAGGTTGGAGGGGAGCCCCCTGCGGGAGGAGCAGCTGCTGGGCTGCCTGCTGCACAAGGCCGGGCGGGACCTGGTGTCCCAGTACAGCCGCACCTACGCAGAGAAGGCCGCGCCCTCGGGAAAAGGTGTGTCCCCGCGCTGCTTCTGTGTTGCCAAGTCCACCCTGTCCAACCCCTCTGAATCCCTGCCTTCCCTGTTGCTCTGGAAATCTAATGGCAGAAGCTAAGCAGAAATGGGCAAGGGTCCTGTAAAAATGGGCATCTGTGCTTTGTGAAAGCATGGATTTTGTAGTTCAAGATGGAGTGATGGGGGAGAAAATGATACACTAGCAGGAAAGAGGTGGTGCTAATGGGAAAGAATCCACCTGCCAATGCAGGAGCCACAAAAGTCACAGGTTCAATCCCTGGGTCGGGAAGATCCCCTGGAGAAGGAAATGACAACCCATTCCAGTATTCTTGCCTGGGAAATCCCATGGACAGAGGAGCCTGGTCAGGGGAGCCATGGGGTGGCAAAGAGTTAGACACGGCTGATGGATCAAGCACACACACCGAGAGAAGAAAAGGGTCTTTAACATAGAAGTGTAGAAAACCTGGTGTAATTTTTTGAAAGAGTGAACTCTCACATCAGCTGTCTGTTTTAATTTTCAGTCCCACCGGATCCTCTCGATCCTGAGCGGGCAATGCTAGCCTTGTTCTCCAATCCTGACCCAGCCCACGCCTGGAAATTGGCCTATTTCTATTGCCTGAGCAACAGCAAGCACTTCCTCGAGCAGATCCTGGTAAGTCAAACTCAGTAATTCTCCATCACACAAGTTCCCAGGGATCCTTTCCAGGTTTTTTCATTTCTCCTTTCTCACCCATTCATCTGTCCAGTGCAAAGCAGTTTAATTAGTGGTAAGTCATCTAGTTTGTGTGTTCATCTCACAGTTCTACAAGGCTCTGAGAACCAGTATCATTCATATTTAGAACTGCCAGCATTTCATTTCATATCTGTCCTTGAGCAGGTATGTGTAAGCTTTCTGGAGGGTGTGAGGAAGAAGAGACAGTGGCAGCAACATATCACCTAGTTGACAGGGGAATCTAATTACTCTACCTTTCTTCCAGATTGCAGCTGAGCTCCAGTTTAATTCAACAACTATTTATTAATTTAGTCTATGTGCTATCCTATGCTAAGATCTGGAGATAGAACAGAAGTCAGTCCCTGCCTTCAGGAAGTTTACAATCTAGTATTTTTTGTAAAAACTGGCCACTTCTAGCACTGTTGGAAACCTCCCTTCGCAATGGAAAATCTTCTCACCCTGATGCGCAGCAAGTCCTCTAGCCGTCTCCTTTGGCTTCCAGGTGACAGCACTCGCCCTACTGAAGGAGGAGGACTTCCCAAGTCTTGGCTGCCTGCTCAGTAGAGAATTCAGGCCTCTCAGCAGACTGCTTGTACTCCTGGGCTGGACACACTGCCAGAGCCTAGCGTCAGCCAAGAGCTTGCTTCAGACACTCCATGGGACCCAGGTAACTCACAGTGCGGCCCAAGCTCCTCCAGAAATGTGTGTGATGAGGCTTTGGGCTGGGGCGGGGTTCTGAAGTAGGTCACAGCCTCTGACCCCAGGTGCCTGAGTCAGCATCTCTTTCTTCTCCTGTATCAATGCAGGACCAAGGCTGTGATAAGCTCCTGAGAGATGCCTGCGATGGGCTGTGGGCTCACCTGGAAGTCCTGGAGTGGTGTGTGCAGCAGAGCAGGTACAGTTCTGTACTGCCAGCCCCCTCTTCCCCGCACTGGGCACACTTGACCCCACACTCTATGCATGTGGCCTATTCAGTACATCTTCCCCATAAATGTCTTGAGTTGACAGTATTGACCCACAGCAAGCAGTTTTTCCAGCTATTAAACCAGGAAAGAAATATTCACTACAGCCACAAGGTCATAACTAGAGGATAATTTAAGGATGACAATGATAACAAGAACAAAAGCTTGTGTTTCCTGAGCATTTACTGTATACCAGGGATTGCTTTAAGCCCTTTACGTAATGAGCTTGACCCTAATCCTGTGAGACAGACACCAAAGTTATCCTCATTTTAAAGGTGGGGCCCCTGAAGCCCAGAAGTGTTAAGTAACATGCCTAGAGTCACACAGCTTTTGGGCGTGGTCCACATCCTTAGCTGCATGTTATCTTAAGTCACATTTTTATTCAACAACTGCCTGTTGAAATGTGTGTGAGATCCTGTGTTTTCCTGATAACTTAGCCTTAGTCTTCCCTAAATCTGGGTTCCTATTTTGTTCTTCACCCACATTACCAGCAGAGGTGGAAGTGGCGAGGGGCCCTGACTCAAAGAAAAGCAGAGACGCTCCTGTTGGATCTCAGCTAGGAAGGTTACAGAAATTAGGAAGCTTAATCTGCGGGCCCTTTTTAGAGTCTGCTGAGCACAAAGGCCCTTCCTAGATCCTTTCTAGACAAGTAAAAAGCTGGTTTGATAGATGTCCTTCCCTGAGGGTAAACAAATGCTATCTGTGATGGACCATCTGAAATTTAGTGTTTGGGGAAGTGAAACCTGTGGTGTTACTAGCCAGAGAGAAGAGTAAGAGGAAACAGAGACTGGTCTTTTTCCAAGCAATTATTTAAACTGTCTCCCCTTCCATCCTCCCAACTTTTGCTTTCAGCAACCCCATACCAAAGAGAGATCTCTTGTGTCATTTACATGGTGGAGACAGCCACTCAGTGCTCTACTCTCTCCATCACCTTACAAACCTTCCAGCCCTCAGGGAGGAAGATGTTCTCAAGCTCCTACAGAAGGTGCCAGCCAAGGACCCCCAGCAAGAGCATGGTGAGTTGGCGAAGGAGTGACCTAGGCAGAGTTCCCCCCAGGACAATATTACACATGTTTCTTTTAGCACAAGGTTTATTTAGCATGATTGCTGGGATCTGCCAAGAGGGGAGGTCCAGCAGGTACCTTCTAAATTAATGCTATTTGCCCTAATCAGATTATTAGATGTAGGGACACCCTTCCCTTTCTAGGTGAGGCCTAGGGATTCCTATGAGAGCAGTCCCATAGGGATCCAGCTCAGGAACCACAAGCATACCCTCATTCCACGGAATTAGGAACTGCCCTCTGAATTCACAGCATTGTCACTGGCAGTATTTATGCCAGTTCTTGGTGAGTCTCCAAGGTCCATTAGCTGTCTCATAGCACATTTTGTGCCTGCCTTCCCTCTTCATAATCTATTGAACAGGTAGGATTTTTCTCTTAGAAGATTCTTTTTCAAACTTTTTTAGAGTTTTTCTTTTCAAAGAAAGATTTGCCTTAAGCAGTAACAAAGCCTTACTTTAACCTTAGATCTTTGCTGTAAATTCAGAGCCCTCATAGCAAGCTCTTTCTTTCTGCTCTCAAAAATCATATGATAGTGTGGTCTCAATCTACTACACAGGCCAGGGACCTTACCTTTGAGAGAAACAAACATTTTCATATGGCAGTAGATGTCTGTCAGCCTAGATATTGCTTTGCTTTACTTTTGTAAGTTAATTTTTATTGGTGCATAATTACTTTACAATGTTATGTTTGTTTCGGCTTTACAGCAAAGTGAGTCAGCTATATGTGTACATATATCCCCTCTTTTTTGGGTTTCCTTCCCGTTTAGGGGACCACAGAACATGGAGTAGAGTTCCCGTGCTCTGAAGTAGGTTCTCATTGTTGCTGTTTTGTCACTCAGTCGTGTGTGCCTCTTTTGCGACCCCATGGATTATAGCCCACCAGGCTCCTCTGTCCATGGGATTTCCCCAGGCCAGAATACTGGAGTGGGTTGCCATTTCCTTCTCTAGGAGGTTCTCATTAGTTACCTATTTTATACATAGTATCACTAGTGTATATACATCAATCCCAATCTCCCAATTCATCCCACCCCAGCATTTACTTTTTTAAAGGACTTACCACTAACTGTACAGTTAGTGTTACTACATTCCATTTTTTTTTTAGAAATGTAGACAACTTTAGCAGATTTCCTAAAAGAACTGAAACTCTATTTTACACATACAGGTACAAAAATCTTCCGAAGGAGCATTTGAATTCTGTCACAGGACATACTCAGATCTTGAACTTGAAAGAGGCAAAAGAGGAGTGATAATAGGGCTGGCCTAGGATGAGGCAGGGCTTCCCTGGTAGCTCAGCTGGTAAAGAATCCGCCTGCAATGCAGGAGACACCAGTTTGATTCCTAGGTCGAGAAGATCCCCTGGAGAAGGGATAGGCTACCCACTCCAGTATTCTTGGGCTTCCCTGGTGGTTCAAAGGGTAAAGAATCCGCCTGTAATGAGGGAGATATGGGTTCGATCCCTTGGTTGGGAAGACCCCCTGGAGGAGGGCATGACAACCCACTCCAGTATTCTTGCCTGGAAAATCCCCATGGACAGAGGAGCCTGGCAGGCTACAGTCCATGGGGTCGCTAAGAGTCAGACACGACTGAGCATGTCACACAGCACAGGGTGAGGCAAGAGTGGCTTCTGGCACAGCAGTGTTGGAGCCACTCCCTCTCTGGGTGCTTGCAAGTCCTGGCTCTGGGCAGTAATGCCATGAAGGGGTCAAGGCCATAGAACAACATTGGCTGAGCTTCTAAGAAGTGATCACTAGGAAACCTGTAAGAGGCTTGTTCCAACATTGTCGCAGCAAAGCATCCCTAACTACTCCAGTGTCCCTGGAGGAATATGCCTAGACAGAGGGTTCATATGGTAGAACTATATGCAGCCAGCAGAAATTTAGTTTTTAAAGAAACATAATCCAGTGCTTATGCTCTAAGGGATCTGTAAGAAGTAGACAAAGTAAGTCGTATGCAAAATGTTGGTACACTCAACTTAAACACATGTACTTGTACACAGAAGTGTGAAAGGGGTTAAACCAGAATGTAACAGTGGTTGTGTTTAGCTAGTAGGATTGTGGGTGATATTTTTTTTCTTCTTTTTGCTTTATTTCTTTGAACAGGTTGTACTTCTTCTATGGAAATAATTTGGGCTAGATTAAGATGTTTAGAGATTCTGTCAAGATTATGGGACCCTGCCTCCTAAGTTCAAAACACATTTTTAATAAAAAATTATAAATTATTAAACAAGTGTAAAGGAATTTCAACAGAGTTTGTATTTTTTTCCCATGATGTCTGCTTTAGGGCTTTCCTAAAAATATCAATTTTTTTTTTTTTAATTTTGTGTTACCTTCGCTCTCTTGTTTCTCAATCTAAACACATTTTAAGCCTCCTCTTGGATAATGCGGCATTCTCATGGATAATGCGGCATTCTCAGAGTGGACTAAACTTTTACATGTTTTTTTTATTTAAAAAAGGAAAAACAAGTATTTTAAGAAATGCAGGGGAAAACTTGTTAAATAGCCAGGAGACTCGGGTTGAACAGACATGTAGAGGGGAGGTTGGTGGGGAAAAGGAAACAGGGACTAGATGTTGTTGTTGAGTAGGAAGCAAGACCGGGAAGAGACACCCATCACCCTGCCCAAAAAGAAGGAGGGTGGGAGATGACAGTGATTAACAAAAACAAATGAGAAAACACACATACACACATACACACACACACACAAAATTAAAGGAGATGACAGTGATTAACAAGAAGGAGGGTGGGAACACTTAGGGGACTAGGAGCTTGATATCTCTGTGCTTCAGCCCCGAGTGCGGCCCTGGCCTAAAAAGAGCAACCCTGAAGTTCTGCCTGTTTCTCTCTGCAATTCAGATTCAGCTGATGCCCTGGTCCCCTCACACCTGAGCCAGAGTCAGAACCTGACTCTCTACCGGAGCTTCTGTGCCATGAAGTACGCCATCTATGCCCTGTGCGTCAACTCACACCAGCACTCCCAATGCCGGCAGTGCAAAGACGGTCCCTCCGAGGACTTGGCCTCAGTTGCAGAACCCGTGAACGATCCTGTCTCCTCCCCAGGTACAGCGCCGCCCTCACCCCTTCCCCGGCAGAAGCTGGGCACAGCCTGCCCCAGGAGGCTCTTTGCATGGGAACACTTTTCCACCAGGATTGGAAGGTGGCCTTTTACTATGCCCGTGATTAGTTTCTTCCGTTTATCAGCCTCTGTGAATCAAAGGGACATGGAGAAAGCAAGTGATTTGTATAACTTCTCAGAGTCTGATCTAGTACTGTGTTTTCCAAATGCATTTTTTTTTTAAACTCAATCCACAGTAGGTAGTAGTTCACATCACTCCAGTTTGTACCTAGGTATATAGTTTGTGCTTTTATGTGTATGTGTATATGTGACGTATAAACTGAAAGAGGGCTGCCCTGGTGACTCAATGGTAAAGAATCTGCCTGCCACTGCAGGAGATGCAGGTTCGATCTCTGGAGTAGGGAAGATCCCCTGGAGAAGGAAATGGCAACCCACTCCAGTATTCTTGCCTAAGAAATCCCATGGACAGAGGAGCCTGGTGGGCTACAGTCTATGGGAATCACAAAAGAGTCAGACACAACTTAGCAACTAAACAACAACAAAACTGAAATAAGTTTTAAGAAACATTACTTACCCTTCCAAACAGAGCACACTCCAGATTATTTTTCAGTTTTATTTCATTTTTTCAAATGCAGCTGTCTAAGTCAGTGTCATGGGTCACAGCCTACTGTTGGAAAGAACCTTCTGTCCTATTCTCTCCCATTTTTCTTAACTTACAACTCCTTACTTTGCCTTCTGTGACTAGTGTTCAGATATCTCTCCCTTGCAGCTTTGAAATAGACCTTCACTTCTGAGCATGGTCATTTTTGACCAGTGAGTATGCCTTAAGTGATCTGGGTAGCCTGTGGTCACCTGTAGTGTAACAGTGAGTGAAAATGGGAACTGAGGGATAAGGAGTCTCCAGGCTGCCTTCATTGTAGCAACTGCAATATGGAGTGCTTCTCCAAGATGAGGAATAATGTAATTTCAAAAAGCAGAAACAAAATTATGAGCACTCAGTCAGCTGCACTTTTAGTTAAGGGAACAAAATCTTTCTGCAAATCATGAAGACATAGCTCGGCAGTCTCTCATTCTTCTGACTGTAACCACAGTTCCCTGAGTTGTTACAAAGAAAGAAAAGAGTTAAAGTTGGGAGAGTGAGTCTGGCAAGTGCTGTTTGTGATGTTTGCACTTTCTCTCTTTCCTTCTTCGGCCTCTTCTCTTACCCACGCTGCTTCAGGGGCTTCAGATCTCTTCGCAACGTACCTGGCCAGGTGTCAACAGTATCTGTGCAGTATTCCTGACTCTCTGTGCCTGGAACTTCTAGAAAACATCTTCTCATTGCTCCTCATCACCTCTGCCGATCTTCACCCAGAGCCTCACCTGCCCGAGGACTACGCTGAGGACGATGATGTTGAGGGGAAGGGCCCATTGGGCTTGAGGTCCCCGTCAGAGAGCCCCCAGCATGTGGCACAGCCTGAGAGGAAGTCAGAACAGGGTGCCCTGGGCACTGCCAGGAGCCTGGCCTACACAGTTCCAAGCTGTCCGAAGCCAGAGCCGAAAGACAGTTCCCGGGAGCCTCACGGGCACAGCTTTTTGGACCTAAAGCACTTTACGAGCGGTGTCAGTGGGTTCCTGGCTGATGAATTTGCGATAGGGGCCTTCCTCAGGCTGCTCCAGGAGCAGCTGGATGAGCTGAGCAGCCACAGCCCTCCTGAGAAGTCAAAGCTGCTGGAAGACCAGAGCGGCTCGGGCGGCAGAGACGGACTGCAGGGTCGCCTGCACCAGTTCTCCAAGGTTCTCTCGGAGGCCCAGTGGAGGTACAAGGTGGTGACCAGCATCCAGGGCTCAGGTGAGAGGAGGTAACAGAAAGGGAGGGGGGAGAAACATTTCGGGAATATGGGAGAGACTAGGCGTGCCTAGAGCCAACTAGCTCCAGGCACGTCGCCAGAGCCACCCCCGTCAGAACTCGGGGACTGCCACGGCTCACAGTCCGGTTCAGATCTTCCCTGTTATTACCCCAGGAGGTGGACCGACTCTAAATTGGTCACGCTCGAAGGGAGGAGGGGCAGTGTAGGAGTAGGGGAGTAAGAGGTAAAAACGGTTAGGTATAAAATAAGCTACAAGGATATATTGTACAGCACAGGGAATAGGGCCAACATTTTATAACCTTAAAAATTGTGAATCACTATACTGTGCAACTGTAACATACAATATTATGTTATATGTTATATATAACCTGTAACATATAATATTGTACACCTGTAACTTATATAATACTGTACAGCAGCAGTGATACATCAATTAGAAAAAAAAATTGATCACCCTCCCATATGACCCACTGGGTTTGCTGTTTCAGAGGAACAACCCTCCCGAAGATACCGACCCATCACCACACGGCACCCTAGTCTCCGCCGGGGTCGTCGGACAAGAAGGAGCCGGGCAGGTAATCTGAAGAGCTCTCCCCATGCCTCCGTCCCATGCACTAGGCAGGTGGTGTATTACTGCTTGTCTAATATACTTAAAGCAGTCAAGCAATTCTTAAAGTATCTTTTCTTCTAAATTGTTATTAACTTATGCTAGGTCTTAGTGGTGGCATGTAGGATCTAGTTCCCTGACCAGGGATCCAACCTGGGCCCCCTGCACTGGGAGCATGGAGTCTTAGCTACTGGACCACCCGAAGACAAAGTATCTTAGAGCAATTCCAGATAAAGTACAAACAAAAGATCATCCTAATGATCATCCTAATCCTACTCCCCTAAAATAACCCTTGCTTATAGTTTTCTTTCAGAAATTCTCTGTGCAATGCAAGCATATATATCATTTTAGATACATGTGCCTAAAATTGCTGCAGTTGTGTCCACCCGTGTAATCCTATGGACCATAGTCCTCCAGGCTCCTCTGTCCATGGGATTCTCCAGGCAAGAATACTCGACTCGGTTGCCGTGCCCTCCTCTAAGGGATCTTCCCAGCCCAGGGATCAAACTTGTGTCTCTTGCATCTCCTGCATTGGCAGGCAGGTTCTTTACTACCAGCACCACCTGAGAAGATATATAGATGCATTGTTACTATATAGAGAGAACTGCAACTTTCTTTTTTCACTTACATCCTCTTACATGTGTAAAGATATCATACTCTGTAGTGAGAACTCACTTCACTTATTTTAAACGCTGCTTAGGAGTCCATTGTCCTATGTACCCTTTTGTGGGCATTTAAATTGTTTCTAGTTTTTTGCTCCTATAAACAATGCTACAGTAAACAACCTTGTATGTATATCTGTGCATCCTTGTGTGAGTATGTCTATAATATAGATAGCAGTTTAAAGAAAGTCAAAGTATATGTGGGTACAAACTATAGATGTAACAAATCGCCCCCAAAAAAGGCAGGCCAATTTACATTCCCATCATCTATAGGTGAGTGCTTGTTTGCACTCATCAAAAATGAGCAGTATCAAAAAAAAGCAATGAGTAGTATCAGGCTTTTTTTAATCTTTGATTAATATACTAATGGTGTGTCATCAATTTAATACTAAGTTTTAATTTGAGATTGTATGTCTTTTCATATATTTATTGGCCATTTATAATTTTCATCTCAGGTCCATATTTTCTATTGGGTTTGTCTTTCTTGTAGAATTGTAAGAAGCTCTTTATACCTGAAGGAAAATATTCTGTCATTATGTGCTATAAGCTTTGCTCTATTTTGTCTATTGAGCATTATACAGAAGTATTAAATTTTGGATAGTCATTCCATTTATGATTTTTGTTAGTTTTTAAATAATTAACAGGGAATTCATAGTTTCCTGTGCCCTAAAAAATACTGGGTATTTTTAGAGAGGTGAATGAGGCATAAACCAGGACTTTGCCTTTGAAGAATTTATAATTTACCTGCATAGACAGTACACATGAAAAACTTGAACTGCCCAGAGGCATGGCCTGAAAACAGAAGAGATCTCTTGGAAGGGAAGGTCAGCATAGCCTGAAAAGGCAAAGAAACAGGTTTTATGAAAGAGCTGACTATGGGACCAAACATAGAAGAATGAGTCGGCTTTAGATAAGTGACAATGAGAGATACGAGCATGCTGGCCAAGCTGGAGGATATGGAGAGAGAAACTTAGAAACCTTAAAGGCTGAGCCCCTTAAGTGACTCAGTTAATCAGAGTCAAAAGGTATCATTTGCGTCCACCTGGCTGATCCAGCTCCGGATACACAGTTCATTCTCTCTTTCCTGCAGCTGCCTATTCCTTCCCCACAGTAAGCCAAGGAGGCTGCCTTACGTGGCCAGACATTACCCTTGAATTACATACTGATCACAACAAGGAATAGCAAGCCTCCCTTGAAAGCCCCAGCACTTCAGGAAAGCAAGGGTTGAGAAGAAGATGCTTTTTCTCCAGGGCTTTCAATATCATGGTCTTCAGCCTGCCCTGCCTTCTACTTTGGTTTCCTGCTCTTTCAAGTATGAGGGCCACCTTTTCTACGTCAGAAAATTTTGTGACCCTCTTTGGTACCCTAGGCTTCCCTGGTTGCTCAGATGGTAAAGCGTCTGCCTGCAATGCGGGAGACCTGGGTTCAATCCCTGGGTTGGGAAGGTCCCCTGGAGAAGGAAATGGCAACCCCTCCAGTACTCTTGCCTGGAAAATCCCATGGACGGAGGAACCTGGTAGGCTACAGTCCATAAGATCACAGTTGGACACAACTGAGCAACTTCTCCCTTCTCTTTGGCACCCTACTGCTTCCTGGCTATAATAGTTGTGCTTTCATTTTTTTTCAGACTGTTGACAGTGCTTAGTGGGCAGATGGGGGTCAGTGACCCCAAGAAGAAACTTGAAAGCTCCTGGGGCTCTGAGACCCAGAGCTTGTAAACCACTGGTGAAAGCTACTATCCAAATGAGCACTAGGGTCATATTAAGCCCTCCCTGGGGCCATCAGTGTGCCCAGGGAGGCGTGCAGCCAGGGCCCTCGCTCTCACCTCCTGGGCCCACTCCTGCAGCTGCTGCTTTAGCACCTTCACCCAGACTCTGAGTCGCTTCACTCCCCCAAGTTCCTACCCTGCTCCTCTGCCAGGGCCAGCACCCCTCCCTGGAGCTTGTTGCTAGGTGTATCTTCGTGCTGGAGGGGAGGCGGACCATCAGCTGAGGAAGCCTGGAACCTTCTAGAATGAGACTAAGAAGATGGATCCCCGTTTCTCAGGGTGCTCAGAAGGAGCAGCTGGACTGAGATAGGAGGAACTTCTCCTCCCTGCAAGGGGAGCAGCTCAGCTAAAAGGAATAAAGACTCACCCCCGGGGGGGGGGGTGGGAATTATATATATATATACACACATATATATAGGTCCGTAGGAACTTGGTGTTTTGCTGTAGAAGGAGCCACTGATGTAGTAGCTACTCATTATCTTTTCACTCTACCTAGATCTCAGCTTTCAAGCCAACTTCCCCCTTTCTGCACTGTAAGGTATTGATGGTTGATTTTCTCTGTTTCTTCCTAATACCTCTAGACGACCGGGACAAAGGTTCCAAACCATCCCTGGAAAATACGAGTAGTGAACTGAGCACAAGTACTTCAGGTATCGGTGTCCCTACCAGTTGCCAGCTTCCAGTAACTCTGCCCTGATAGAGTCGTCATTCACCCCGGTCTGAAACCTTGGACTGAGCAGTTCTTGCTTGTGTTCAACAGTGAAGGGGCTGTTTCCCTATCAGCTGAGTTCCCCATCAGTAGAGAGAAACAGAAGTAAATAACCCAAGGAAAGTAGTTGGTACATAAGTCTTATATTTAAAGATGATAGCATATGAACAGATATACACTACCATATATAAAACAGACAAGGATTTACTGGGTAGCACAGGGAACTATACTTATTATCTTATAATAACCAGTAGTGGAAAATGATTTTTAAAAAGAGTATATATAACCAAATCACTCTCTGTGCACCTGAAATTAATGCAATATTAACTGTACTTCAACTGTACTTCAAATTTAAGAAGAAGAGAAAAAGATGATAGCATAGGTGTGCCCTTCATTTGAGGAAAAATCAAGATCTATTTACAGACCTTTTAGAGGACTTTGAGAAGGATAGGAGTTTGGCAGCAGGTGACAGAATAGTTTTTCCTCAATTTCTATCCCTTCTGTGGCCGCCCATGTTCCTGTATCCCAACAGAAGGAAGTCTGAGCACTGCGTCTGGGAAGAATGAGCTGGAGGGTCGATTGCAACCCCAACCTCACAGTTCCCTCATCCCCATGATGTTCTCCCCACCCGAGTCACTGCTGGCATCCTGCATCCTCCGGGGGAACTTTGCAGAAGCCCACCAGGTGAGGCAGGTTCTTGTGCAACAGGTGTTAGGAGCCTCGGCCTCACCTTGTCGCAGTAAAGAGCACCAAGGCAGCCTTTTACCATCTGGGGCCCGCGGGGCCACAGGCAGAGGCAGATGTGTGTGCAGCCAGAGCCACTCAGGTGCCTCTGAGGGCCCACGTCCAGCAGGAGAAGCAGGAGGGAGTTTGCACGTATGGAACCCCATCTTGAGCACTGTGGATTTCAAGACCAAGCCAGGAGGAGATTTAAGCTGTTGAATCATTTGTTTTCTTAACATAAATGGTGTTTTAGCAAGATAAAATACTGGGCGGCAATCAAAACATTGAAAGATTTTTATATCTTTCCTTCTTGTCCTTCTCTGAACATATATGTGGTTTTATATAGTTAGAAATCACTGTGCAGACCATTTTTAACAAGAAATAGAATGCCAGTTCAATATGCAAGAAGTGGAACGGGCTAGCAAACTGGAAGGTTCATGTGTGTAGGGGAAATTACAGGGAGTAAAAACCAGAAAGATCCTTACTCCCTCTGAGCTACTCTTTCTGAGCTTTGATATCCTCACCTGAAAACTGGAGTTAAATGTAATACCTGCTTGTGCTGCCTCCTGGAATATTAAGAGGATTGTGTGCAAGCTGTGAGAAATACAGGAATCCTCTGCTATTGTTTAAATGTAATAGCATAAAAACCCACTATTCTCCCATCCAAGTACTAACCAGGCCCGACCCTGCTTAGCTTCCGAGATCAGACGAGATCGGGCACGTTCAGGGTGGTATGGCCGTAGACAAAACCCACTATTCTAATTTTTAAAACTCTCTTGTACTTGTAATGCGTATGCTGGTCCCTTAACACACAGGTCAGAATTTTTCTTTCATGTGAATTTACATGGAAACATCTATGTGATGGGATAATTTTTGTTTAACTTCTTCTGACACATTTTAGATCTTGTATTTTAATAACAGTGACAATTCTGTTGCTCTCAGGAGGATAGCACTCTCACTAGCCTTTCTGACACCCAAACCAAGAAGTCAGTTGTGAGGTCCCCAATCCTTTACCACTAAAGTCCTCACTTCCTTTTTGGAGGCTTTGAGTTTTTCTTTTATAATGAAAGTTTTTTAACCTGGTTACAGAACAAGTTGTGCATATAAGAAAATGCCAAAAAGTATTAACCAGAAAATAAAATCATTTTTAATTTTATTGTCCAGAGCAACCAATACTAAAGATAAAAGTATATTTTTTGCCAATGTTTTCTGAAATATATGTGACCTTTATATAGAGCCAAGATCACTTTGAATCTAAAATTTTAGCACCTTTTTTACATTTTAAATATCTGCTCTGTAACTGATTTTAGTGATCTTATCTGATCATGTATCTGCATTTGACCATTCCCCTGTTAACTCAACACTTAGATTATTTTCAATACTGTAATCACTGTAATAACTAGTGTCAAGATTATCACTTTTACACATTAAGACTTTGGAATTTTTTCCTTAAGAAAGTTTCTCATAAAAACGACTGAGTCAAAGAATATAAACATTTTTAAAGCTCCATAGATTGCCAAATTGCTTTTCAAAAAAGATTGTGACAGTTCATTCTACCCCTGAGGGTTTAGTTTTACACTTTGTCCTTATGATAGATGCAAAGTAGTATGACTTTTAAATTTCCTGGATTACTCGGAAGGGAAGGCATTTTTTCATCTGTGTATTAGTCACGTGCATTTTCTATTTGAAATTGTCCACATCATTTGCTTATATTCTGCTGGGGCTCTGGTGACTCTCATGCTGACTTTTATGAGTTATTTCTACATTTGATCTACTCTCTGCACATCCAACACTCTTCCAGCCTCACAAAGCAGCTGTCTTAGGGCCAGAGGCTGATGACTGGCAAGATCTCAGATCTGTAGATTCTCCCCCACTCCAGCAGGCCCACCAAAAGCCACACTCCTTTCTCTCCTGTGACAGGTGGTGTTCACCTTCAACCTGAAGTCTTCGCACAGTTCCGGGGAGCTCATGTTCATGGAGCGCTACCAGGAGGTGATCCAGGAGCTGGCCCGAGTAGAACATAAAATCGAAAACCAGAACTCAGATGGGGGTAGCACCACCATCCGAAGAACAGGCAGTGGCCGCTCCACCCTGCAGGCCATCGGCAGCGCTGCAGCCGCAGGTCCGGCTTCCCTCTTGTCTGGTGGGGAGGGAGTTGTGGGAGGAGGGTGTCAGGGAGAAACCACCCAAACCAGAGGCTCACCATGAAGATGAACAGAAACCCAGGGCAGGACGCTTGCCTTGAACAACAGCAGTCCTGACACCCCCCAAGTCATTTTCTAGATGGGGCCAACTTTGCTGATCACAGGGGTCACTTACCTGCCTCTCGAACTGTTCCATTAAGCCTATACTGAGGAGTGTGAATGCAGTTTCCACCATAGGTTTTGATGGCCATTATCTTGAGCTTTGGGGAGTTGATTACTGTGTTTTCTTCCCATGTAGTTATTCAGGGATTATTTTACATTCCTAAAAAGTGAAGGAGTTTTGTCTAACATCTGTGGCCTGGGGTTCTCGGGTCTCCAGGCCCAACCTTGGCTGTACTGCAGAAAGAGCTCATTATTTCTTGAAAGTGGAATCTTGTCCCATGTTTTTACATCTTTTGCTGGTCTAGGCTGTATATATCAAGTTACCATCCCACACTGCCCCTTCTATATGCTCCCAGAAATTTTCTTTACAGATTCAAAAGAATATACGCATATGCTTTTTGTTTTTAATATGAATGGGCTCTTATAACAAGTACTATTTTCTGGTTTGGTTTTTTAGCAATATATTTTAGAGATCTTTTCAGATGAGCACACACAGACCTACCACATTCTTTCTCAACCTCCTTTTAGGCCTGATCTGGAAGAAACCCTCACTTCTCCCAACCTTATAACTACTTCTCAAAATAAAAGTGGTAGTGAACATCATTTTAACCTCTTGCCTTTTACCCCCAACCGCTGGGTGTCCAGGGATGGTATTTTATTCCATCTCTGATGTGACCGACAAGCTGCTCAGCACCTCTGGAGACCCCATCCCCACGCTCCAGGAGGACTTTTGGATAAGCAGTAGCCCGGTAGAGCTCACTGCTCCCCTGAAAGAGGTTCTGGAAGACCTCAACCCGCCCGCCATGGCTGCATTTGACCTGGCTTGCTCACAGTGCCAGCTCTGGAAAACCGGCAAGCAGCTCTTGGAAACGGCTGAACGGCGCCTTAACGGCAGCCTTGAGAGTCAGGGTGAGTATGCTTCCTTCACATGATCCCTTTGTTCTCAGATGAGGAGACAGGGTTCTGAGGTGCTTGACAATTATACAGGAAGAAGGTTACTGGGGAGGGAGGGACAAGGAGGAAGGATTGTTTCTTTATTCCTTCACGTCCATTCTGGTGACTAGTCTATTGAGAGTCTCGCCTTCTTTTTTTTTTTAATATTTTATTTTTGGCTGTGCCGGGTCTTCACTGTTTCTCTAGTTGCAGAGAGCCAGGCTTCTCTCTAGATGTGGTGCTCGGACTTCTCATTGCAGTGGTTTCTCTTGTTGCAGAACACGGGCTCTAGGGCACAAAGCATTCAGTTCCCCCAGCTCTAGAGCACAGACTCAGTAGTTGTGGCATGAGGGCTTATTTGCTCTGTGGCATGTGGGATCTTCCCAGATCAAGGATCAAACACGTGTCTCCTGCATTGGCAGGTGGATTCTTTACCAATGAGCCACCAGGAAAGCCCAAGAATCTCACCTTCTTAACAGACATAACAGTCTACAGTCATTTGGGGACCTTTTCTTCTGGTTTATAGATAAACTCAAGGAAGAGATAAACATTCAAAACTGGTTCAAATGGCATTGGTGATACAGTGGTGAATATAGTTGCCTTCCAAAAATGGTACAAATGGAATTTGTGCCCCTAAACTGCATACCTCCTCCAGAGTGAATCCCACTTAACTTTAAACTTGGGTCTCAAACTTGTACACCAGGTATAAGGGAAATTTTTAATGGATCACAGTTAAGGGGAGGATTGTACCTTGGGGTTAATAATATCTCAGAATGTGTCTATGGAATTCTTAGAGGAATGTGAAGAAAGAATTAGGCAAAGTGTCACTCCCCACCTGTCCTTGATACACACACCCAACACTGGAAGGACTGACGAGGCAGAGAGACAGGAACTTATTCTCTCTGAGTAATACAGAGGGAGGAATGGTGAACAGGTGTGATATGAGTAGCTTTCCCTGGGTTCAGTGATTCACTGGGAGAACTCACAGGACTCAGCATACAGTCATACTCATGGCTACAAATTATATCATCAGAAAGACACAAAGCAAAATTAGCAAAGGGAAAGGGCTCATGGGATAAAGTCTGGAGGAAACCAGACATAAGCTTCCAGGAATTCTCTCCTGCTGGAGTCACACGGGACGTACTGAACTCCAGTAGTAAGTTGTGACAACAAACAAATATGAAATGTTTACTACTGGAAGCTCATCAGTGACCCAGTGCCCAAGGTTTTTACTGGGGGCTGGTGACAGAGGCACCCTCTGCCCAACATGTACCAAACTTCCAGACTCTCAGAAGAAAGGCAGGTGTTCAGCATAAACCACACCATACAAACAGTTTAGGCACAATCAATCACTTCCATCATTTAGGGAAAATTTTATCAGGGTAGAAAAGCATCTGCCAGTCAAGTTCGGAGATGCCAGCCAAGGACCAACCTTGCCAGCAAGGCTTTCTGAGGATAGCAGTCTCGGGCTTTCTGTGTTAACTCTTTTATGCACACCCTTCCAAATCACTTCTGAGCTGTTGGCTTGAAATCCTTTAATGCTGACATAGTCCTTCCAAGAAAGTGCACTGTGGCATACACAATGCTGTTTTTACTGAAAAGTTTACTTCCCCCTCATCTAGCACTTATATTCTAAAATTGAATGAAGATTATATAATATTCAAGCCAACTGGTTTCATGCCAATCAGGAATTAATTTAGTACCTACTGCATTTCCAGATTATCCAAAGTTTATGGAGCACAAGAGAGGTATAAGGAATAATCTCTGCATAAAGTTCTTTATAGTGTAGTCAGGGTATCAGGATACTATTTAAAACAATTAGAGGAGATAGGATCCCAGCTCAAATTCTCAACTAAGAAAGGTACCAAGGCAAATCCACAAGAAGTGCCTGGTTGGCTTGGGACAGCAATTCCCCAGGAATACCAGAGCTTCTGGCTCTGCTGCTGTGGACAGCTGAGGCATCTTGCCACAGATAGCCCTGGAACCACAGGCATGGAATATGCCAGGTTTACTGGGCTACTCAACTGCACAGCATCTACTTCCCCCTTCATATTGAAGGAGATAAAACTTTACACGTAAATACAGGACTTTCAATCTCTGAAGGTACCTTATGTTTTTTCTGCATTCCCCCTTGATTCATCCATTTCCAGGTCGCCGGCTAGACCACGTATTTGTCAATGCTGATGGCATTCGAGGCTTTCCAGGTGTTCTTCAGCAGATCAGTAAGATTCTCAATTACCCACTTGTGTCAGCCGGGCAAATCAAATCAGGTGAGCTGCGTGACTACCTTTTTTTAATCTCCTGGACTCAGAACGTTGGGTCAGCATCAGACCTGACTTTTTCTTTCTCGTTTGCTCTCCATAGAGAGTGGAGAGGATAAAGGAGGAGGTCCCCCACGGTGCAGCATTGCTGAGCTGCTTCAGATGTGTTGGCCCAGCCTCACGGAGGACTGTATAGCCAGCCATACCAGCCTCTCCCAGCAGCTGGAGCAGATCCTGCAGTCGCTGAGAGAAGCACTGGAGCTGCCAGGTACTAGTCCTTCTGTGACGGAGCAGTTACGGTTGAACTAGGGGCAGGACACAGCGGAGCGTGAAGGAGCACATTGGAATGGAGGCTTAGGACTCAGAAGTGGGCCCTTTGTGTGTACGTTCCGAGTTGCTTCAGCCATGTCCAACTCTTTGCCACCCTATAGACTGTAGCCTGCCAGGCTCCTCTGTCCATGACATTGTCCAGGCAAGAGTGGGTTGCCATGTCCTCCTCCAGGGGATCTTCCTGACCCAGGGATTGAACCCCAGTCTCCTGCATTAGCAGGTGGGTTCTTTACCACTTGCGCCACCTGGGAGCCCAGAAGTGGGCCCTACCACCCCTCTAGTTAACCAGGACTGGTTTTGTAACTAATCCCACCTGTTTCCCCACCTCCTAAGTGAAGGGATGCTTAGCGTACCATTAGCTGGTACACATTTCTTATTCCCAATGAGAGATATACCCAGAAGTCACTCCGTAAACATTGACCAAACCGTCCCCAAAAGAGTGCTGTGCATTTTGCAGAGGATTTCCACCCCAGAGACCCTGAGATGAAAATGGAACTCTTCACCCTGATTTCTCCAGACTCAGAACTCTTCCTGGCTGAGAATCACTTGCACAGGGAACCAACTTGGGATTGTATGGTGAAAGTCACTCAGTCATGTCCTACTCTTTGCAACACCAGGAACTATACAGTCCGTGGAATTCTCCAGGACAGAATACTGGAGTGGGTAGCCTTTCCCTTCTCCAGGGGATCTTCCCAACTCAGCAATCGAACCCAGGTCTCCCACATTGCAGGCAGTTTCTTTTTTTTTTTTTAGTTCTACCAGTTTATTGCTACCAACCCATCTCCCTCCACCCTCGTGCACACATGCTCAGTCATGTAATCCCGTGGACTTCAGCCCGCCAGACTCCTCTGTCCATGGATTTTTCCAGGCAAGAATACTAGAGTTGGTTGCCATTTCCTTCTCCTGCAGGCAGTTTCTTTACCAGCTGAGCCACCAGGGAAATCCAAGAATACTAGAGTGGGTAGCCTGTCCCTTCTCCAGCAGATCTTCCCAACCCAGAAATTGAACCTGTGTCTCCTGCATTGCAGGCAGATTCTTTACCAACTGAGCTATCAGGGAAGCCCTTGGGATTGTGTAGCTGCCTCATAGGTGTAATACCCAAGCTGTAGGATGCCCCATGCAGTATATATTTATATTTCTATTTTACAAACTTAGGATTTTATAGCTGCCTAGTAAGTATAATAGCCAAGTTTAGGATGCCCCATGCAGAACTGAGCAGAGGTTCAGTTCCCATATTGTGTTGGAAATTGACCCAAAGCCAGATGCACAGACTCAAGACTGCATGCCTTCTCCTTCCATAACTCTCCCCAGAGCCCAGGAGTACCCCACTCTCCTCCCTGGTGGAACAGGTGGCCCAGAAAGCTCCGGAGGCCGAGGCCCACCCTGTGTATATCCAGGCTCAGCTCCTCCAGAAGAACCTGGGCAAACAGACGGCAGCAGGCGGCAAACAGACTGACTACATGGGCACCTTCTTCAAGTACTGCAGCACCCTGGCTGCCGTTTTCCTTCGGAGCCTGAGCTCTGAGCCTGGTAAGTAGCAGGAAAAAGGAAATATAGTCAGGACCGGCCTGCAAGTATCTAGGGCAAGGAAGCAGGAACACAGTGAAGTGGTTCTAGGTGCAGCAGCAGCCAAGGACACTGGATTTATGAGGTCCTTTCTTACACACCTCTGCATTTTAGTCACCTTTATCTCCCCAATACCTCGTACAATAGTACAGCATATGAGAGTATTCAGTATGTTTTGACGGTATTAATGACTCAAAAATACTCTCTCAGATCTTCGATCTACTGTGGACATGAGAACTGAGAAGAGGAACTGAGTCTCTGTTTAAAATTGCCAGACGCTTAACTTGAGTCCACAGAGCAAGTGTTACCTGCACTTCAGTCACATGGAAGGGAGCAGAAATTGCTATTTGTGGCTAGAGCTGTTCACTGAAGTGTGTCTGTTGTTGGAAGTCTCTAGGACAGTGGTAAGGCATAGATAAACCTGTGGCCAGCATCATGTCAGGAATACCTTTTACCTAGAAAAATACCAATGAAAGGACTTTCCGTGTAGTTTTGACACTTATTTTTGTTGTTGTTGATTCTGGAAAATAGGGCTCTGAATGTTGCAGTCAGTGGTGCAAAAATCACCTTCTTTATTTTTGCAGATCACGTGGAGGTCAAGGTAGGAAACCCCTTTGTTCTCCTGCAACAAAGCTCTTCCCAACTGGTGTCACACCTGCTGCTTGAGCGACAAGTACCCCCAGACAGGTAGGAGCCACCCCGTGAGAGTCAGGCATGGGCCTTCCTAGTTGTTTCATCAAGGAAACCAAGGGCCCAGTGGGGCTGTGTTTGGGTTCAGTACAGGAAGGGGGGGATTTCTTCAACTTTTCCATTAGTTTGCAGTTACTCTTATGCAGGCTTCATTAAAATGCAGAGTGCCTTGTTTCTTCCTATCCACACCTAAATAAAGGGGTTAAAATCAGGTTAAAAATTAAAAAATAAATAAAATTAAGAGGGGACTCTACTTAAGAGTAGGCTAAAGCCCAAAACATTGATAACATAATTAGTTGGCTAGGCTGTAGGAAAACAAGCGTTCTCATAGATTACTAGCGGGATATAAATCTGTGTACAGCCCCTATGGGAAAGCAGTTTGTCCTTGTCCATGAAAATGATGATCTGAAAAAAAATAAATAAATAAAATGACGATCTGCATTTTTGGCAGTCCACATTGGAAAATTTATCCCGAAGCTTTATTATACGTAAGAAAAATGCTATATGTACTAAGTCATTTTATCACAACTTTGTATGTCATAGCCATTGTCCACTAATAGGAGACTAGTTAAATTCAGGTTCCTCCACATAATGGAATGCTGTGTAGCTATTAAAAAAAAAAAAATAAGGGGCCTCTCTGTAGATGGATATGGACAGATCTACCAGATGTGTTATTAAGTAAAAAAGCAAGGGACAGGGCATTGGGTCTAATAGACTGCCTTTTGAGTTAAAAGGAGGAGGGGAATAGGGGGAAACAGAGAGTCTGCATTTACTTCTGTTTGTTTAAACATAAAGAAATTTGGAGATTGAGTGATGGTGCCCAGGCACTCAGGCCTTGCATGCCCTCTGCTTCTCTCCCTCCAGGCTGGCAGCCCTCCTGGCCCGAGAGGGTCTGAGCCTGAGCGTGCCGCAGGTCATTGTCAACTGCTGCTGCGAGCCCCTCACCCTCTGCTCCTCCAGGCAGAGCCAGCAGATGTCAGCCTTTCTGACCCGTCTGGGCACTCTGGCCCAGCTGCACACCTCCCACTGCCTGGATGACCTCCCACTTTCCACACTGAGCTCCCCAAAGTCAACTGAGAACCCTGTACTGGAGAGAAAGCCCCCTTCCTCCCCGAGGGATTCATCACCGCCAGCCCTCACCTCCTCCGCCTTGGCCTTTCTGAAGTCCCGCTCAAAGCTGCTGGCTACCGTGGCCTGTCTGGGGGCTTCCCGGGGGTCAAAGGTCACCAAGCCCAGCTTGTCATGGAAGGAGCTTCGTGGCCGCAGGGAAGTGCCTCTGACGGCCGAGCAGGTAGCCCGGGAGTGTGAGCACCTCTTGGAACAGTTTCCTCTACTGGAAGCCTCCCTCCTGGCTGCCTGGGAACCCCTCCGAGGGTCCTCCGAGCAGGGGCAGAGTCTGGCCGCGAGTCTCTGTGGCCACGCCAGTCTCTCTACTGTCCTCCTGGGCCTCCATTCTCCCACTGCCCTGGACGTGCTCACCGAGGCCTTCGAGGAAGCCCTGGTGGCTAGAGATTGGCGCCGGGCCCTTCAGCTCACTAATGTGTATGGACAAGATGTGGACGACTTGAGCAGCATACAGGATGCGGTCTTGAGCTGTGCGGCGGCTTGTGGTGAGCAGAAAGCTGTGTCTTCCTCCTTCGGCAGTGGTAATAACATTGAGAGTTCACCGAGTGGATCATCGCGTCTGATCCTCACAGGAACTCTCAAGAAAGGTGCCACCATGGTCTGATGATACTGAGAGGCGAGCCAGGCCCAGAGCGTGGGAAACTGCCCAGGATAGTCAGTGGTGGAGCAGGGCTTAAAACCTAAGCCCATCAAACTTTAGGACAGGCACTCATAACCAGTATTCTCAACCCTGCATATCAGAATCGTTGGCAAATGTTATAGACTACAAATATCTGAGCCCCATTTCCAAAAGCCCATATAAGGTTCAGGAAAGTGTCTGTTTTAAAAGAGCAGTCAGGAGAGCCTCAGGAAAAGACTAAAGATTAGATTGGAAGAAAAGAGAGTAGAAGCCATGTTTCGAAGACCTGTAGTACAGGTGCTTCGTCAGTTTGTAAGACATGAGTCTGAAGTAGCTAGCAGTTTGGTTCTCGAAAGGTCTCTGAATCGTGTGCAGTTGCTTGGTCGAGTAGGTCAGGACCCTGTCATGAGACAGGTAGAAGGAAAAAACCCAGTCACAATATTTTCCCTAGCAACAAATGAGATGTGGCGATCAGGGGAAAATGAAACCTACCAAATGGGTGATGTCAGTCAAAAGACAACATGGCATAGAATTTCAGTGTTCCGACCGGGCCTCAGAGATGTGGCATATCAGTATGTGAAAAAGGGGTCTCGAATATTTGTGGAAGGGAAAGTAGACTATGGTGAATATACGGATAAAAATAATGTGAGACGACAAGCAGCAACAATTATAGCAGATAATATTATATTTCTGAGTGACCAGATGAAAGAGAAGCCGTAGACTGGACGATTCTTCTCTGGCTGGTGTTTGGTACAGTCTCATTTCCAAATCATGCTAGTGTTTATAGTTCCTAAGGACAAGAATTAAAATACTCTTCATTAAAAAAATAAAAAATAAAAATAAAAGAGCAGTCAGGAGAGTTTTCCTGTAAAGGGCTTTGTAGGCTCTGCAGGCTTGGGGGCAAACACTCGGATCTGTCATTACGGCCTGAAATCAGCCATAGACCATAAACGAGTGAGCGTGGCTGGCTTCTAAGAAATCTTTATAAGAACAGACCCTCAGGGGCTTCCCTGGCGGTAAAGAACTCACCTGCCAATGCAGGAGGCACTGGTTCGATCCCTAATCCAGGAAGATCCCACCTGCTGGCGGAGCCCAACAGAGCCCGCAACTGTTGAGGTGGTCAGCTGTGCCCTAGAGCCCACCACAGTGAGAAGCCTGCACACCACAACTAGAAAGTTGCCCCTGCTCACTACAACTCGAGAAAGCGTGGGCAGGGACAGAGACCCAGTGCACTCAAGAGGAAATAAATGATTTTTTTTTAATTATTTAAAACACACACACACACACGCCTGTTAGTCAACTCCTACTATAAAAGCTAGTACACACACACACACACACACACACACACGGGCGTGTTAGTCAACTCCTACTATAAAAGCTTGTACACACACACACACGCACACACGCACGCCTGTTAGTCAACTCCTACTCTAAAAGCTCCCCAGGAGACTGATGTGTACCCAGAGGTGAGACTGGTGACTTTCAGCCCTCCACTAGGGGGAGCAAGAGCCGGGCAGGCTGTGGGTAGGGGCCTTGGCTTCTCTATGGAAAGGAGAAAATCCTTCCTTGAGAAGGTGGAGAAATCCACTGACCAGCTCTGAGGTCTTAATGGCTTGGATGGAGTCTGTGTTTCAGCTCTGTGATGTAGGAGTGTGAGAGAGAGAGAGCTGCTAAGCAAAAACAACAGTTAAAAAAAAACAACCTAGTTTGCTTGCAGTAACTTTCAAGTCATAATGTAGGATGCAGCATGGAAATTACAGGGAAAACCGAAAGTTCTGCTGACAAGTTGAGTCTGAAATGGTGCTGTGTATGCAGCTTGCCAAACCATGGAGCACCTCATCTATTCTTCTGTCTTCTCTCTTTTCATTCTTTCTCCCTTTTTTCCTTCCTTTCTCCTCTCTTCTTTTCTTCTCCTCTCTCTTCAGAAAGTCCCATGACTTTGATTTCACCTGCATAACAAGAAACAAAATATAGCATCTGTCTTCATCATAGAATTGCTCCAAGTATAAAAACTAATTCAGGTCAGATGTATCTTCAGGATCCTCCCAACTCCTGTTTTGTGAAATTGAACACAGCCCTTCTCTTAAGAAGTAACCTGGACTCTTGAGCTCCTGTGCCAGGCTTGCTGAACATCTTTTTGTCTTATAGACAAAGAAGGTTGGCAGTACCTGTTTGCTGTGAAGGATGCATGTCTGAGAAGTCGGCTAACGCTGCAGTTTGTGGACCGGTGGCCTCTGGAGTGGTGCCTGGAGATCCTGGCCTACTGCCTTTCAGACACAGCTGTCCAAGATGGGCTGGAGTATGAGCTACGGAGAAAGCTCGCGGAGCTGCAGGTGTATCAGAAGGTATAGGACCTGGCATCAAGAGAAAGGAATCTGATTTTGGTATTGACCATTTGGTGATGTCCATGTGTAGAGTCGTCTCTTGCATTGTTGGAAAAGGGTGTTTACTAAGACCACTGTGTTCTCTTGGCAAAGCTCTGTTAGCCTTTGTCCAGGTTCATTTTGTACTCCAAAGCCAAACTTGCCTGTTCCTCCAGGTATCTCTTGCCTTCCTACTTTTGCATTCCAATCCACTATGATGAAAAGGACACCTTTTTTTGGTGTTAGTTGTAGAAGGTCTTATAGGTCTTCATAGAGCCAGTCAACTTCAGCTTCTTCGGCATTAGCAGTTGGGGCTTAGACTTGGATTACTATGATATTGAATGGTTTGCCTTGGAAATGAACCGAGATCATTCTGTCATTTTTGAAATTGCACCCAAGTACTGCATTTCAGATTCTTTTGTTGACTATAGGGCTACTTCATTTCTTATAAGAAATTGTTGCCCACAGTAGTAGACATAATGGTCATCTGAATTAAATTCCCACATTCCCGTCCATTTTAGTTGGCTGATTCCTAAGATGTCAGTGTTCACTCATGCCATCTCCTGCTTGATCATATTCAATTTACCTTGCTTCAGGACCTAACATTTCAGGTTCCTGTGCAGTATTGCTGTATACAACATTGGACTTTACTTTCATCACCAGACACATTCACAATTGAGTGTCATTTCTACTTTGGCCCAGCTACTTCATTCTTTCTGAATCTATTAGTAATTGCCCTCCACTCTTCTCTTGTAGCATATTGTGTACCTTCTGATCTGGGAGACTCATCTTCTTTTTGCCTTTTCATGCTGTTCATGGGGTTCTCAAGGCAAAAATTTCCTCAAGGTTTGCCATTTCCTCCTTCAGTGGATCATGTTTTATGAGAACTCTTCACTATTAACAGTAGCCATTTTGAAAGGGATAACTAAAAGTGAAAATTTCACTTTCAGTTCAACCTTTCAAGTGAAAGGTCCTTGTGATGTATGTGTTATATTCAAGATCAAGAGGCTTAGGAAGATAGATTTACGTGGTACAGCTACATAACAAGTATACATATGCTAATCTTTCTAAGTGTACTGGTAACCAGAGTCCAGAGCCCAACTAGGGAAAGTGAAAATGGCAAGTGAAAAAGATTTTCTTTCCACTCTTCCTCAGCAGTTTTCATGCTGAGCTAAAATGTTGCATGAAGGGTGATCCCACAGAGCATTCAAGCCAGAAGAATAACCTGGATAGAGTTTTGAGGTAAAGGAGCAAGGGACAAGTGACCCCAGAAGACTGAACAAACTGCAAAGGACAGAAGCCTCTGAGAACTGTCCTACAGTTGTGGCCTCCCCAGTCAGCCTTGGCTCCCTGGTTATACTTGCCAGATCGATTGACTCATCTTTGCAAACACTCTGCCCCATTAGTTCTTATTCCCTCTCTCTCCTGGCAAGTTTGGTACAGAGACCTGGGGGTGGCCCATCCCTGGAAACTCCAGTGACTTGTTCCCCGACAGAGAAACTAGTGTGGTTTGATAGCTTTTCTTATCTTTCCTTAGATTCTAGGTTTGCAGTCTACCCCCATGTGGTGTGACTGGCAGGCCCTGAGAAACTGTTGTGCTGAGGACCCTTTGACTGTCATGAACCTGATTCTGGAAGCCAAGGTACCATTTTCCTGGGTACTATTCTCCTTCCTCCTCTTTCTAGATTTACCCCTCCTTAACCAGTTAAGTAGACTCCTTTCCATATGTCAAGGTTCACATTTTTTTTCTATAATTATGTAACACTCTTTTTTCTCTTTTTTATGCATGTGAAACTTACCAACATTCAGAGAAATGTAAGGACTAAGACAATTAACGCTTTTGAACTATCACCCTTGTTTTCATAGAGGAGATTTCCTACACTGTTCACAGTGAGGACAGAATACATTCCCAGCGTGGAACTGCTGCATCATGAGGCATAAGCATCCTCACCTTTACTAAGATGTTACCACGTTGTTCTGGCCTAGTTATTCTCCTACTCACAGTCCCTATTGCTCCATCTTCTTGGCAATTTTGGCATCATCTAGCTTTTTCCTTTTTGCCAATAAGGTGGTCTCACATCATTGTTTTAATTTACGTTGCCATGATTACTAATGACCTTAACTACCTTTCCATGTGATTGTTGGACATTGAGTGCTGAGTAAATTTTTTTTTACCCTTTGAGAAGCTGATATATATCATAGGTCAAAATATAGATATATTTATTCAGGTGCTGACTTATCCAGTGCTAGATAGTGGTGAAACAAAGGTCATTAAGCTTAGCCTTTGCCTTTGTGCAACTCATTATTTTGGGAAGGGGTGGGCGGGGCAAGGGTGAGGGGAAATGTGAGCCATATCCCTAGGTGATTGTGATATTCCAAGTGACAGAGGCAAGCCCAGACTGTGGTGGTGGCACAGGCAGGGCATCTAATGTAGCCTGAGAGACAAGGGAACATCCTGAAGAAGGTGGCCCCAGGCAGAGTTGTGGGAAGAGCCTTCCAGATGCCACCATAGAATACTCGGATGTAGCTCTGAGAATTCCACTCTCTGAAACTTTAATCCAGAGTTCCCAAATTGGAGGTGGGGATGCGGGGAGTAACAAGGGTTGATATCCATGGAATCCAATACCAGCATGTTTATTGACCTGTGCAATAATAGTCTGCAGAATTTTTAGCTTTTCATATTGATTTCATTGCCAGCATTGGAAAATAGGGGGATTTTTCAATTTAAAAAAAAAAATGTTTTTGTAATTTTTTTCTCTGGCCATGCCACAAAGCATGTGAGAGATATCTTAGTTCCCTGACCAGGAATTGAACCCATGTCCCCTGCAGTGAAAGTGTGGAGTCTTAGCCACTGGACCACCAAGGAAGCCCTAAAAAATTTTTTTGAAAATTTTTAAACTCTGGCAGCACTGGGCCTGCACAGTCATGTGGCAACAGTCAGAGTTGAGTAGGCTCCGTCTCCTTTGACAGTCCTGTCAGCCTTACCCACTTCCTCAGTGTCTTCCCAGCACTGACCAAGTGTTAGTGGCTGTGTGCCATCTGTTTCTTTCTCATAGGAGAGCTAAGAGGAAAAGGACATCTTTAGCTGCCTACTTGCACCATTTTCAGAACTTGCCTTGCCAATTCTGGTCCTTTATGATCCCACTTTAATCTCACAATGAAGTTCCCATCAACACTTCCCAAACTGTCCTAGGGCTTTGGCAGATTCGGGACTGCTGAGAAAAACCAGGCAAGAGTTGAATGAGTGACAAGGCCAGGATTTTTTTTTTTTTTTTTTATATTAAGCATTTATTAAGCACTTACTTAAGTGCACTGAAAGGCCAGGATTTTAAAGGGGTTGAAGGCATGTGTGTTTCCTTCCAGGAGTATGAGTTGTGTGAGGAGTGGGGCTGCCTCTACCCTCTTCCAAGAGAACATTTAATCAACCTACATCAGAAGCATCTCCTCCACCTTCTAGAAAGAGGTGATCATGAAAAGGCTCTGCAGGTAAGCTTCCAACTCTTCCCAGTTTTCTCTGGGGAGGGATGTGATGGTTGGTCGAATTGGATGGCTCTGTTCCTACTGGATCCCATTCAGAGCACTCACAGTCTCAGATCTGCTCCTGCATTAGCTGGTTATAGTCACCCTGCCTGTAAGTGCCAACCCTACATTAGGTGCCAGGTGGGCAGCTGGGCCCAAGATCCTGCTGATCTCTGGTCCTGCCAAAGTCATCATTTGTAAAGCTAAGGGGTGCTGGGGAAAAAAAAATGAGTGCAGAGAAAGGGTTAATCCAAAGTGAATAAATCGAAAGGTTCTATTCTCAAACAAAACAAGGCTGGACTAAGAGTTCTTCTACAGGCCTCACCTTTCTCCTCTACCTTCCTCCTGCAACAGCTTCTACAAAGAATTCCCGACCCCACCATGTGCCTTGAGGTCACAGAGCAGTCCCTCGACCAGCACCCTAGCTTGGCCACTTCTCATTTCTTGGCCAACTACCTCACCACCCACTTCTATGGAGAACTGACCGCTGACCGACACCGTGAAATCCAGGCACTGTACATGGGATCCAAGGTCAGGAGGAGAAGGGGCTGTCAGGAAAGCATGATAGTCCAGCTCCCACTTCAGAAATTGCTTTTCCAGGCATCTGCCTTCCTTGACCTGTGATATACAAAATCTTGACCCCAATAGCCCACCATATCCCTTAGAACTTAGCGTTGCCTACTGCTCTGCCTCCAAAGTGAATTTTACGGTCCTCCTAAGTTCTCTGTATGCTTTGCCTGACATCTGCTATATAAAGGCTTCTAAATTCTGACCATGAATTAGAATCACCTGGACTTTCTAAAAATAGCAGTAGTTGACCTCCACCCTAGAGTATTTACAACTGAACTTTTTGGGACAGGGCCTGCCTGTTTTCCAGAAGGATTCTGATGTGAGGATTTAAAACTGCTGCTTTAAATCCTTAAAACTACTCTGTGCTAAAGGAAAGGGGTCAGTTTTCTATGCAGTGAGATAAGTCCTTACCTTTGATGTGTAACCTAGGTAGAAGAAATTACAAGCTAATTTCAGTAGAGTTTAGGAAAAGTGGTGTTTAGGAAAAGATAAGGCCTTCTGACTCTCTGATAATGATTGTGATTGGCAGTCATACTGTCCCCTGAGTGTAGAACGCACCACATGAATAGACCCAGTGCTGGTGAACATGACTACCAACCTATTTGCTAAGAGTTCAACCACGTAAAATGATCCTAGAGAGGATACACCTGTTTTTCTCTTTTTGGATGCACTGTGCCAGAGTGCAGTCTTTGAAGACGGGCAATGATTAGAGCCAGTGAACATATTTCAAGCCCAGTGATAAGAACCCCTAGGAAGAATTTAGAGTCATCATTCACCTGTAGGACCCTGCAGGTACCAGGTTTAGTCCACCTTATATTGCTTATTCTAGCAAAGCCTCAAAAGGACAGAATGGTGACTTTAAGGATCAGGCAGAGGTCAATCATGCCTGGTTAGTCTAGGCTGGGGGTTAGGAGACCAGCGCCTGTGAGCCAAATCCAGTCCTCAGCCTGCTTTTGTAAATCATGTTTTATTGAAACACAGCACGTACACTCATTTACCAGTTGAGTAGTTGCCACAAAGACCTTATGGCCTACAAAGTCTGAAATATTTACTATCTGAACCTTTCCAGAGAAAGTTCCCCTCATCTTGATTGCCACTGGAGGATTTAGCTAGGAGTCCAGCCTTACTTCCTTTCTAAAAGACTCCCAGCCAGCTGGCCAAGAGGCCATTGGTCCCAGATACCCTTCCCACTTTCCCGTGAGAATCTTGACTTTCTTCTGAAATTCATATCTTGTTTCCTTCACACTGGGGCTGTACCCCACTCCCAGGTACTGCTGACCCTTCCCGAGCAGCACCGGGCCAGCTACTCCCACCTGTCCTCTAACCCCCTGCTCATGCTGGAGCAGCTGCTCATGAACATGAAAGTGGATTGGGCCACTATGGCCGTGCAGACTCTGCGCCAGCTGCTGGCCGGCCAGGAGATTGGCTTCACCGTGGACCAGGTGGACTCGCTGCTTTCCAGATATGCGGGAAAAGCCCTGGATTTCCCATACCCTCTGCGGGAGAAACGCTCAGGTAATAGCCAGCATGCTCAGTGGGGGTTCTACATGGAGAAGGAAATAACTCTGCTCCATCCTTAGTTTTCATTTCTCCTCTTTTATGATTTTGAGTTGATAGAGAATGAGAGGATACGCTTCAGGAGAGAGAGCTCTTTTGTATAGGAGAGATCTCAGTCTTGGAGGAAGTGGCAGGCTAACCTGAATGAAATGTTGGTAGATAACTGCCATGTGCATAATAACATAAAGATTCGGAAAACAAGGCATGCTGAGAGTGGTCTCTCTAGCCTTGGTGCAATGGGCTCTTAAGTGCCATCATTTTGATTTGAGGACTATTCCTAGGGTCACATCAGATGTCACTAGTATGTGAGCTGATTCAGTCTCTAATAGAATGAAGAAAATGAAATAAATGAGGGCTAATGTTCCCAGCCAGCTTTTTTTTTTTATTACTCCCTACCCTCCAGGACCATCACGTATCTTCCGCTTCCCTCTGGACATCTTTAGATTTATTTTGTAAAATCCTAGTGTCTATACATCACTTATCTCACATGCCTAACATAGTTTGTTCATTGAGGCATTTGAAAAGCATGCTTATGACTGTCTTAGAAGTCCTTCTGTCATTCTTTGCATGCCTGGTAGAATCATGGGATGACAGCGAAATCAACAGGGCTTTGAACTAAATTCCTAGCAAAACAAGTGAGGTTTGTTTATGGTAGAATGATCTGTCAACATTTTCCTTCCCTGCAGACTCTGTGATTCACCTCCAGGAGATTGTCAGTCAGGCTTCAGACCTCGAGAGCTTGTCTAGGTCACCATCAGCCGAGTTCTCTTCTGCTGCTGCTCCTGGTAAGAATGAGTTCTGAGAGTTACCCATTTTTTCAGTTCAATCTTGCCTTACTCTGATTTTCTGATTCTTTCGCTGCTTTTTTCATTTCTAGTCACAACATTCTTATTGGTTTTGTTGAGTTGTTCCAACTTTGTATATCCCAGAAAACTCAACATGTGAACGATTCTTATCATTTGCAATAGTATATCTATGAAGATTCCACAATGAATTAGCAGATACTGAACCATTGCTTCTAGGGAAAATATGCTTGTATGTGTGTGTATGCTTGTATGTATACATTTGTGTATACATATATACATATACACACATTTCACATACATTATAATCTCAGCTCAATACAGTTCATCCCAGTAGATTCTATTTTCTTTATTGTACAAAAGGAAAAAAGAGGCTCAGAGTGTTCAAGTGACTCGCCTGAAGCCACCGCATCCAGGATGCATACTGAGCGTTTGGGATTCAAACCCTGTCCAGCCATCCTCAGAAGTGGGCTTCTTGCACTCCCTGTCTCACTGTTCTCTGCTGGCTCCATCCTCTGGTCTGCTCTGTATGAAAGCTGAAATAGGAAAGCAAAACATGACCTTATGCAACCGTAGATGAGGACCTGCATAATAACAAGCCTGCAACTCAAATCATTCACCACTCTATAGGTGTCTGCAAAAGCAATGCAAATACCGATTTTGAAGTTAAAAGTAAATTTTAACAAGTAGGCAACTTCACAAATATGGAATCTACTAATAAGGAGGATCAACTTACTTAGTCGTCGTGTTCATTCTGACCCTGTCCTACAGGTAGTTATTTATGTCTGTCAGCCACACAGGGTGCAAGGTCCTTGCAGTCTCCTGCCATTTCTCGGTCACCCATTTTCACCACTGCTCCTCTCCAATCTCCTGACTTTTGCCCAATGGCCTGCACTCAGAAGAGGCTCAGCAAGTGTTTGTTTAGCCAACAGTCAGGAGAACAGGCTCCTGGGGAGAGGTCAACAATCCCTCTCCTTCTGGGTGCTGCTAAGAGTCACTGTGTATTCAGTTCTCTTTTTCTGTGACCTGCCGACATCATTCTGCTAGGTACCGTACCATCCATCTCCTTAGATACCATAAAGCAAAGTAGCATTTTGTGGCCCAACTTTGAGAAGGAGCCATGCTTCAGGATAATCAGCAGACCTGACAGAAGGGCTCAGGTATACAAGGATATGAGCAGCTTTTCTGCATAAGGCAGCCTGAGCAGCTTTGGTTTACTTAATTTTTTCTTTATTTTTTATTATAGAAAATTTCCAGCACACAGAAGTAGAAAGAATAGTGTAATGAAGTGTCATGTACCTATTACTCAGTTGCAATATTTATCATCTGAGTATGACCATTCTTGTTTCATCTGTACCCCTGTCCCTATCTACTGGGTTATTCTGAAACAGATCCTAGCTATCATACCATTTGCTCATAAACAAAACAGTATCTATCTCAGGAGTTCCCTGGTGGTCTAATGGTTAGGGTTCAAGGCTTTCATAGCTGTGGCTTGAGTTCAGTCCCTGGTCAGTGAACTGAGATCCTACAAGCTGCATGGCATGGCCCAAAAAAAAGCCCCCAAAAAACAGTGTATACCTCTAAAAGGTAAGGACATTTATAAAACAAAACCATAACATCATTCTCATAGCCAAAACCAAATTAATGATTCCTTATTATTATAAACTATCCAGTCAATATTCAGATTTCCCTAGTAATCTCATGAGGAATTTTTTTAGAATTGGTATTTCTAGAATCAGGATGTAAATAATGTCCACACATGGCGTTTGACTAAACTCTCTGTTAATAAGAATCTCTCTTAATCAGTAGGTTTCTATACCCTCTTTTTCCCTCTACCTCTTTTTTATTTGTAAAGGAAACTGGTTCACTTGTCTCGTAGAGCTTCCCACACTCTGGATTTTGTTGACTGTCACCCTGTGGTAATATAGGTCTCCGTTCCCTTTGTTTCCAGTACCCTGTATATGGATCTAGAAGCCTGATTTCATTCAGGCTCAATGTTTTTTGGCCAGTGTATTTGATAAGCGGTCCTGTGCCTTCCATCAGGAAATGCACAATGTTCTTTTTTTCTTTAAATCACCAAGTTCAGAAACATGGCATATTTATTTATTTGGCTGGGCCAGGTCTTAGTTGTGGCATGTGGAATCCAGTTCCCTGACCAAGAACTGAACCGAGGCCCCTGCATTGGGAGCCAAGAGTCTTAGCCACTGGACCACCAGGGAAGTCCCACACAGTGCTTTTTTGGCAATCAGCCATTGATAATCATTAATTGGATCTGTGATATCATGAGGCTTTGTAAAATGGTACAGTTCTAATTCTCTCATCCCTTCGTCTTTTATCAGCTGGACTGTTGACCACCTTTTACTCTGACTTCTGACTCTGACCCCCAGGTGTCCCCATTGTACATTCCCCAAGTCTGAGGGAGAGGAGCTTCCCCCAGAATCAGCTGCCGCTGGAGTTTGTGCCCCCAGCTACACCCCCTGCCAGGCACCAGTGGGTCCCAGATGAGAGTGAGAATGTCTGTATGGTCTGCTGCAGGGAGCGCTTCACCATGGTAAGTCTTATCCGTCTCTAGCTTCACCTGCAGGAGAAATGAAGGTTCTCCTTCATGAGCCTGAGTTTATAGTCACTCCTGTCCCCAAGAGGAGAGGGTATGTTCAGAAGGTCTAAGGCACTGGGTTTATCTTTGACCTGACCAGGATGCATTTTCTGAGTTCAGATAGAGGGTAGACCCTGCCCCCCACCCTCCCTTGAGTAGCCTTAAATTCTAAATCTCTGCCTTTCTTATGAAATAAATGAAAAGAGGCAGAGGTATTGCAGAAGCAGTAACCAAACATCAGGATATCTCGTTTCCAGCTCTCGTGTCTTTTGCAATAAGACAGGTGACCTGGTAATGGTTTTATGTGCTGGAGCCAGAGGACTTCACTTCTCATCCCAACCCTACCTCTTACTTGCAATGTGACTATTGATCTTTTCATCTCAGATGCGTACCTGTAAACTGGGGATGATGTATTACTTGGTTCATAAACACTAACTATAGTAACACATGTTACCACACTGAGCACAGTACCTAACTGGCATAATAGCTCAGCACGTGGGAGAATGACGATGGTGTAATTTCTTTGTGTTTGTTTCCTCCTCTTTATGAAAAAAGGTGTAATATGTCTATCAGCCTCTTATGATGAAATAAGGCAGTATTTGTAAAATACTTGAAAAAAGGACACTTTTTCATCATCATCAATACCGTGTAGAACTGTGTTCCTCATTAGCTGGAAAAGTCACTTCTTCCCCACTACTTTTTATTCTGTCTTTACACGTTTCCTCCACAGACAGGTAGGGCTTGTCAGGAGCTCTTGCAGAACTGTCCATGACTCAGGCATCTTTGCCCATCAAATGAGAGAGATCTATAAATGTCAGCTTTGTGAAGGCAAGGATTAGTGTCTTCTTTCTCAACAGAGGCCCAAGCACCTGATAGTCTTAGCAAATCACAGGTGGCTCATTCCAAGGATAAATGGATTGACAGGTTGCTCACAGGTCCGGCCATCTCACTTTCTCTTCCCTACTCCTCTTTCTCTTTCCAATGACCCTCCTCAGTTCAACAGGCGTCATCACTGTCGCCGCTGTGGCCGGCTGGTGTGCAGTTCCTGCTCCACCAAGAAAATGGTAGTGGAAGGCTGCCGAGAGAACCCTACCCGCGTGTGTGACCAATGCTATAGCTACTTCAACAAAGAGTGAGTGTCCTGCAGTGGGGCCACTGCTGCTACTGAGCAGTGTCCCCTCCCCAGGGTCCTGACAAACCTACGAGTCTCATGAGGGAGCGCATCTCAAATCTGAGCAGTTACAGAAAGTTTTCTTTTCACATTCACACTGAAATGCCATTAAGCCTGTGGTGTGATGGTTGACCTTGGTCAGGGAGACATCTGAGAGAGGAAGTAGGGGTATGTAGAAGCAGAGAGCAAGCTCGTCCATAATGCTCTGAGATCAGGGCACTGGGTTCTTCGGCCTGTCCCCTAATGGAGGCCGCTGATCTTTGCTTGCCAACACCTTCACCTCTTCCAGCCACTCTTGCTTCAGTCAATCTCAGCTGGGCTCAGAACAACACGCTCACCTACTGAATTTTGGGGCCTCACTTACATCAGCTCTCATTGACCTCATCATTCTGGCTTGTTATCCACGACTCAAAGAGCCCCCACACTTTCCTACACACAGTTCACCTGGGGACAAATCTCAGAAACTGCTCATGCCACTGGCAAAGCAAGTCAAGTGTTTTTTGCCGGCTCAATGTTGCTCAGTTTTTTCCACTACTTCTAGCAGCAAAAGAGGGTAAAACTAAGTGCATGTGGGAATATGAGCCAAAGCAGCTATCCAAAAGCCAAATTACTTTGACTTCTTTGTGTTTTATGAACAGACTTAAATCGATCTCAAACTCATGTTTGTGTTTCTTTTAACATGAACTTTTTTATCATTGTTTATCATGGTGATTACTGACCTGATAGAAAGGAGGATGTTCCTTGCTTATACCACAGTTTCTGTGACCCTGGCATACCACTGCCTCCCTCCTGGTGGGGGACAGGGAAATTACCCGTTTATCTTTCTGCTGAGATTTGAAATGAACAGTCAGTAAGGATTCTTTCACTCAGCAATCACTTTTTCCTTGAGGAGCCCCTATTTAGTGGGAAGACAGACAAAACACAGACCACAGAGCCCTTTGATAGTACAATATGGAGACACACCCAGCTTAGCTCAGTGATCAGGAGGATTTCCTAGGGGTGTGGCACTTGGCCTAAGCCTCCCTAGAGGATGAAAAGAAGTCAAAACAGTACCCAAAAGTGGGAGTAACACCTGCAAAGTTAGGGACAGGAGAAAATGCGGGTCCTTTGAAAAGTGTAAATAGGTAGGTCATGAGCTAAGGCTCTGGACTCGGGGGCTGGCAGCTGAGCTGGGAGGACCTAGGGATGGCACAATGGCTTGGACCTTGCTCCAAGCAGCATGGGCTGGGATTGGTTGACCAGAAGGCTCCTCTGGTGATAGACTTGGGCTCTGGCCTGTGACATTGGGCTTTAGTGGTTAGTGGCATCAATTGAACTTGATCAAAGCCTGTGGCAGTGTGGATAGGACTTTTATGGGTTGAGCAGAGGTCATGGGTGGTAGGAGATGGTCTCCAGAGACAGCCAGACCATGAGGAGCTTTGTCTGCTAACCTGCAAATGTGGAATATTTATACCCCAAGGAGTTATTAAAGAATTTTAAGCAGAAGCATAACTTAATGCATTTTTTGAAAGCTTGCCATAGCTACAAAGTAGAGAATAGATTGGCAGAATCAAGGAGACCAGTTGGGAAGCTACTGCAGAGGCAATAGCATTGAGTGATGAGGACTGTCTCTGAGGCAGGGATGAGGAGAGAGATGAGGATATTTAAAGAGGTATTCAGGAGATGGCATGGACAAGAAATGATAAGTGGTTGGCTGTGACAGGTGAGAGAGAGAGAAGAGTATTGAATGATTCCCTGATAATCTCAGTGGGGTAACAGTAAATGTCAGTGCTGTATACCAAGCTCAAGGAGGAGGAAGAATTCAGTTTTCACAGGCATTTCACCTTTTCTTTCTCTGTTTCCAGTATACCAGAGGAGAATACAGGACAACCAGAAGGTAAGGCTGACTCACCTGCCCTGTGACTTTCTTTTTTTTTTTTGACTGTGCTGCCAGGTTTACAAGATCTTAGTTTCCCAACCAGAGGTTAAACCTGAGCCTTTGGAGGTAAAAGCGCAGAGTCCTAACCCCTGGACTGCCAGGGAGCTCCCTCCTTGTGACTTTTCCTTTCTATGCTCAAGTGAGCCATTCCTTCAGCATATCTGCTGCAACTGACACCCTCAATGGCGACTCAGTCCAATAGTGACCAAAGAAAATTCTTGGCATTTCTATCAGGCTGTTTCCCTTAAGGTTTGTTATCATATTAACTTATCACATTGGCCCGTTAGCTTCCAGCATCGAGAATGCCAGTAGCCAAAGAATTGGGTCCTTAACTTTTAGTAGCTTATTTCCTTGTTTCCCCCTAGATTCCCCTTGACCACCATCCTGCCTCCCAACGCTCCCTCCCTCCCCTTAATAATCACTGTTGGTAGTTTGGGCAGGTTGGTCTTTAGAGCAGCCAGTGGCTCAGCCCTCCATTTAGGAGGCATGTACCTTTCAGGGCTTCTCACATGAAGCAACAGGGTTGTATGGCAGATATGGCAACACTCATCCCGAGTCTGTGCCTGGGGAAGAAAGTTTGAGGTACCCAAGGTGCTCTCCTGAAGGAAATACAAGGGACCAAAAGGAAAGAAAGAGCCCTAAGATAGCAAGCAGGGATCTGCCAACAGCTTACGCCACTCACTGGCTGGGCTAACTGGGCTGCTACCAATGAATGACACACAGATGGCATTTGTCTTCTCAGCCCCAGACAGCTCCAAGAGCGAAAGCCCTCCGTATTCAGCTGTGGTGAGAGTTCCCAAAGCAGCAGAGGTGGAATGGATTTTGGATCTGAATGAGGAGGAAAATGAGCTGGTGCGGAGTGAATTTTATTATGAGCAGGTAATAGCGATAAAATGGATAGTCATTTGAGTTTCTTTATGATTTGTAGTCTGGAGAAGGAAATAGCAGCCCACTCCAGTATTCTTGCCTGGAGAATCCCCATGGACAGAGGAGACTGGCGGGCTGCAGTCCACGGGGTCGCCAAGAGTCAGACACGACTGATCAGCTGAAAACACACACACACATGATGTGTAGTACATAGAAGGAAATGCAGAGTTGAACAAACACAGACTGGTCTTCACTTGCTCACAGTGTAATCACATGGGGCCTAAGGCAAGGAAACCATTAAAAGCACAAAATGAAGAACAGCTTGAGAAATACACAAGAGGAAATCAGGAAAGCCTTCGTGCCATTTAAGATGAGCTTTGGAAGTGCGGTAGGAGTTTGACAAGCAGAAGTTTGGGTGTCATGAGGGGAGTGAGGATAGGGGAAAGACAAAAGAGTTCCAAACTAGAATATCCAAGCAAAGACACAGTGTCCAAAATAGTTGGGGAGTTGGGAGTGGTTTAATTTGGAGGAAACATGGGGTATTAATAAAGGCAAGGTTGAAATGGGCTATTTATGTGTAGGGCCTTACACTCTGCAGTGAGATATGTGTATTTGGTAGATGTCAGGGGCCATGGAGTGTGCTTTAGGAATATTAATTTAGCAGCACTGTGTCCAGTGGCTTGAAGCAGAGACCTCTCCAGGTAGCTAAACAAGCAAGGCAACTGTTGTCCAAACCAACATTAAAGAGCACCCGAACTCCTAGGAAACTGGAAAAGAAGGGCCCCTCTGGACGTTGCCAAGAAGTAGGTAACACGTGGACACAGCTGCCTTCTCCCCAGTCAGGTGACAAACCTAGCAGCCAGAGTATGACTTAGAACTTCTGAAATGGGTTTAGTTCCACTTCTGCTCTGTGGGAGTTTGGCTTCTTTCTCCTGAGTTTTTCAAGCTTCCTGGAATGGGTAGAATTCCTGCCTCTCCAGCTACATCTGCAGCCTGGTCTGGCCCCTGAACTCACGTGTGCATCTCTCCTCTTCCACTCGGGCCAGGCCCCCAGCGCCTCCCTGTGCATTGCCATCCTGAATCTGCACGAGGACAGTGTGGCCTGCGGCCACCAGCTGATCGAGCACTGCTGCAGGCTGTCCCAGGGGCTCACCAACCCCGAGGTGGATGCGGGGCTGCTCACGGACATCATGAAGCAGCTGCTCTTCAGCGCCAAGATGATGTTCGTCAAGGCAGGCCAGAGCCAGGACCTGGCCCTTTGTGACAGGTAAGTGGAAGTGAGTCCCTGTTCTCTTACCTGGTGGTCATGAGATGCAAGTTCGATCCCTGGGTCAAACTTCCCCTGGAGAAGGAAGTGGCAACCCATTCCAGTATTCTAGCCTGGGAAATCCCATGGACAGAGGAGCCTGGCAGGCTATATAGTCCATGGGATCACCAAAGAGTCGGACCCAACTTAGCGACTAAACAACAACATGCTTATCCAGCTTCTTTTTCTGATCCCACTGTGAGTTTTCACCTCCCCATTTTCTGACAAGATGTGCTGAACTGTTTTGGCATCCCATCTGAGTTTGGCAAATGCCATCACCAGACCCCAGGCCGTCCTCATCACCCTCCCGTGACAGTTCTTCCCTTTCCCTGAGAGGTCCTCAAAGAAGGTTCTCTAGCTATACCCAGTCTGAAAGAAAGACTGGCTAATTTTTAATTAAAATTAATTTAGGGGAACACCTTTAGTCTCTGTGGAACTTTCTGACTTTTAAAGAAAATGTGTCCTGGGACTTCCCTAGCTGTACAGTGCTTAAGACTCCGATCTTCCACCACAGAGGGTGCAGGTTCGATTCCTGGTTGGAGAACTAAGATCCTGCATGCTGCTCATTGCAACCAAAATTAAAAAAAAAAAGACGGAAAATGTATCCTTAGCCTTAACCAAAAGTCTACCTAGCCTTGACCAAATTGAGACCATGGCCTCAGGGAGTTGTGGATGACAGATCTTTGAAGCACACTGTGAACTTGTCTGTCACTGCATCCCAGGGAGACATGTGAGTCATAAAATAGAAGTCTCTATGGAAAAGGGAGGATTCTGCCCCAGGCCCCAGCACAACCTGCTCTGCCTCTGTTAACCTGACAGTGAAAACTCCCAGTTCCCAGCTTACCCACCCAAATGTGTGACTCCTGCTGTGTGTTCCCAGCACTCTGTCCTACCCAGATTTCAGAGAAGAGAGCATAATTTTCTTTGATGTGTCAGTGCTTCAGGCACTTGCCTAGAGTACCAGCCTGCACACTCACCAGATCACAGAGATTGCAGTGACGCTCAGCTTCACCACTTCTAAAGCTCTGTAACTTTAGATGACTCTGGGCCTCAGTTTCCTCCTGTGGAAAATGGGGATGATAATGATATTTATTCCCTATGGCTGTTAAAAGGATAAAGTGTGAGTACTATATTCATATAAAGGGCTAAGAACTGAGCCTGTGTACTCCAAAAATGTTAGTTTTATTCTTATTAACAAAGACCTGAAGGTTGAGAAAGGCAGAAAGAAGTGGGACAGGAAGTGGAAGGAAATATATAGGAGTTAATTTTACTCCTTGATCAAGAGACAAAGGTTTCTATATCATTTTTCAAGTTGACAAAAAAAGAGGACTATAATATGTTAAATACAGTTTTTTAAATAACCATGTGAAGAACCAAAACTATACCAATTTATCAGAAATGGGGGAGAAGAGAAGGAAAGAACAGAAACCATTCCATATAGCAAAAGGTAGAGTTAATGGCAAAAATCTTGAGATGTCTGAATATTTCTCAAATATCAGAAATGTAAATGAAATACAATCTTATTAAGAGAAAAAAGATACTCAGATTGTGGGGAGGCAGAACAAATTTAATAGTAAGTCCTAAACTTCCTTCAAAATCCAGTACAGATAGAGGCAATATCCACTTTGGGCTAAGTAAGCAGAAATTAAGGAGCTCTTTGCTTCAGCAGGATTCTCATCCACCCCCAGTTGCCATGTGCTTCTTGGACATGTAACAGCAGTAGTTTCAAATTACACATTCTTTCTGCCCAACCCTGGAGTCCTCACATTAGCTGCACTTGTGCCCAGTTACTGACAACAGTAGATTCATATCTTGTGTATTGAGAACTCCTGGTTTGCAGAGTATTTTTCCACTGTTTTAAATACCTTCTTCCGGTACACAAATTGTTGTTGTTCAGTTGCTAATTTGTGTCCAAGTTTTTGCAACCCCATGGACTGCAGCACGCCAGACTTCCTTGTCCCAGAGTTTGTTCAGACTCCTGTCCATTGAGTTGATGATGCCATCCAACCATCTTATCTTCTGTCCTCCCTTCTCCTCCTGCCCTCAGTCTTTCCCAGCACCAGGGTTTTTTCCAGTGAATCAGCTCTTCGAATCAGGTGGCCAAAGTATTGGATCTTCAGCTTCAGTCTTTCCAATGACTATTGATTTCCTTTAGGATTGACTGGTTTGATCTTGCAGTCCAAGGGACACTCAAGAGTCTGTAGACAAATAATGTTTAAAAACAAAAGCTCAAACCACCTATTACACATATCCAATACATGATGATACCAAGCTTTCTTTTATACACTATACCATCCCCTGCCGTACCCCCACTAGTTGAGACTCTCTCATGTGCTGAATCCCTTTCCAGGGAAATCAGTGGACAAGTCAGGATCCGTGGAGGGGTTTTGATATAATCTGATACAAGAGCCAAGAACCTTGAGTGTAGGCCTGTCGCAGGTGGGGCCACACAGAATGATCCCAGACAGCTTTCTGGAGTCTGTCTTTAAAAGGTTTTGCAATCACCAGATAGCAGGAGTAAGATCAGAGGCAGCAGTCCTAGTAACAGTATCCACCCTTGACCCAGATAGAGGATGTCAAGTCCAGGGCACTAGAATCCAAGTGAAGAGCCAGGAGACCCCTGCCCAGCAGCACTCCAGAGGATGGTAGTGCTGTGACCTCCATACTGACTGGAGATGCAGACCGTGATACAATCTGTACGCGCTCTCCCAAATAGACTTCCAGAGAACCGAAAAGCAACGGGTAGCCTATGAGCTGCTAACATTCAATGTAGAGGCCTTGGCTCAAATAGACTGAGTGTTCCAGAACATCTCTACACCACGTATTGATAGCTAACATTTAATAAGTTCCTGAAAGCTTCCCTGGAGGGCTTCCCTGGTGGCTCAGATGGTAAAGCATCTGCCTGCAGTGCTGGAAACATGGGTTCGATCCCTGGGTTGGGAAGATCCCCTGGAGAAGGAAATGGCAATCCCCTACAGTATTCTTGCCTAGAGAATTCCATGGACAGAGAAACCTGGCAGGCTATAGTCCATGGGGTCACAAAGAGTTGGACACGACTGATCAACTAAATACATCTACTGCAATCCACTGCAAAGCTCCAGATACCATCCTAAGCTCCTTTCCTTCAGTTATTTCATTTTATCCTTAAAACTTCTGTTGTTATATCCATTTCACAGATGAGTACATTGAGGCAGAGAAAGGTTAACTAACTTGCCCAAGATCATAGAGCCACCAAGCGATAGAGTTGAGAATCAGAAAGTCTGACTCCAGAGCCTATTCGCCCATGTACCTCCCAATTCTCATGATCCCATTTCACATTAAAAATAAAATAGGAAACCTTTAAGCAGCACCTGTCCCTGGGAGGACCCTGGGGAGCCTCACTGCCATGCCCTTTTTCCTCCTGGTAGCTACATCAGCAAGGTCGATGTGCTGAATATTTTAGTTGCTGCTGCTTATCGCCACGTGCCATCTCTGGATCAGATCTTGCAACCGGCTGCGGTAACCAGGCTCAGGAACCAGCTCTTGGAAGCTGAGTACTACCAACTGGGTGTTGAGGTGAGGCACAGAGCTGATGTCTACCCCAACAAGTTACTTCCTCCACTTTTCCTTGGCCACGGAGAATGTCTAGGGCATGACCAGTTTGCCAGTGTGGGAGTCATGGCAGGTGGGGTGGGGTGGGGTGAAGGAGATGATTGGCAACAAGGGGATAGAATCAGTCTTTGGGACCCTCAGGCCTGGCTGCAAGTCCTTTTCCCTAAAAAGAGCAGTTTTTCCTCCAGGTCTCCACAAAGACTGGCCTTGATACTACCGGGGCATGGCATGCTTGGGGCATGGCCTGCCTCAAAGCTGGGAACCTCACTGCCGCACGGGAGAAGTTCAGCCGCTGCCTGAAGCCCCCCCTCGACCTCAATCAGCTGAATCATGGCTCGAGGCTGGTACAGGAGGTGGTCGAGTACCTGGAGTCCACAGCGAGGCCACTCCTATCTGTGGTAAGAGTGCAGCAGGCAGAGGCTGGGCTCGGGGGGCAGCGAGGCCCCAGAGCAGTGACAGCCTGGGGAGATGATCTGCTTCCGTCCCACTGACAGTGCAGCCTGGCCCAGAGCTGTCCAGTTTGGACTTCCTTCTTCCAGTATATGTGGTTGCTTTTCCAAGAAAGTTGCCTAGTCCTGTCCTACTCTTCGTGACCCATAGACCTGCTGCATGCCAGGCTTCCCTGTCCCTCACCATCTATGTGATTAGATAAGTCATAAAGAGTCAAATATCCAACAACAAAAAAATAAATTATTTTAAAGACATGAAAATCACATATAATCCCATATCCAGACTTAAGCTGTATTTAGATTTTGGTGACTTTTCTTTGTTGTGTTTTTGAATTAAATTGCTGCTGTACAGTATATAGGGTTCTACAGGTGGCACTAGTGGTAAAGAACCTGCCTGCCAATGCAGGAGATGCGGGTTCAATCCCTGGTCAGGAAGATCTCCTGGAGGAGGGCACAGCAAGCCACTCCAGTATTCTTGCCTGCAGAATCCCCATGAACAGAGGAGTCTGGTGGGCTACAGTCCACAGGGTCGCAAAGAGTCAGATATGACCAAAGTGACTTAGCATGGCATGGCATACGGTTTAATGTATAGAATTTTATATCCTGCCTGTTTTGTACCCTTCAAACTATACGAGAGAGCATTTTTCCATATTGTTAAGCGTTTTTTGAAAGCATCGTCCAGAGGCTGCTGAGAACTCTCTGGGTCCCTTGGTCCCTCTCACTCTGTCCTCTCTTGGCAGCAAGATGATGATTTCTTGGCCACCTTGAAAGAGCTGGAAGCAACCCTCCGGACCCAGAGCCTCTCTCTGGAGGTGATTCCTGAAGGGAAGATCCTGAACAACACCTACTACCAAGAATGCCTCTTCTACCTGCATAACTACAGCACCCACCTGGCCATCATCAGCTTCTATGTGAGGCACAGCTGCCTGCGGGAAGCCCTGCTGCACCTGCTCCACAAGGTGGGACCCACAGACACGGCTCTCGCTGTACCTGCCTTGCCCACCTGGCTTGGCCTACCCAGCTTTCGAGGGGGGCGATAACCCCCCTTAACCTTACCCCAGGGTTCAGCTGTAGGATCATCTTGGGCAGAGTCAAGTCCAGATGGCAAATTCTAGAGATTTCCCTGTTGGTCCAGTGGTTGGGACTCTGCACTTTCACTGCTGAGGACCCAGGTTCAATCCCTGGTCAAGGAACTAGGATCCTGTGAGTTGTGTGGCATGACCAAAAAAAAAAACCACAAATGGCAAATTCTCTCTATACAAATCATGTTTTGATGAGCATGCAAAAGTCTTAACCTGGATCTCAGATTGCCCTTCTCACTGGCAATGACAAATTTCATCCCTTCTCCCAGAACATACAGCAGAACTAAATAATAGCTGAGAATGTGGGCTCTGGAATGAGATGCTTGGTATGAGTGGTGTGACCTTGGGCAAATTGCTTAACTTCTGTTTCCACACCCTTCCCACCTGCTCTGGACTGTATCCTGCCGGTGACTCAGCTGCGCGTCCGCTCAGAGATGTCACCACAAAGACCAGGAAGCACCCATGGCACAGATCCTAAGTTTGGGCCCCAGGCATCTCACGGGAGGAGAATGTGCTCTCCTTTCTTCCTGTGATGTCCTCTGCTCTCCTCTCAGGAGGTGAAGGCACCCTTGAAGTGCGTTATTTCCTTGGAACCACTGTTAAGCCAAGTCAACACTCCATTTCACCATGACTCTTTGGCCTTCTCTTTTTTTTATCTGAAGGCCCCATGAAGTTTTTCTGAGGAAAAACTGATTCATACCAAATTTCATATAAAATTAAAGAAACTTGAGTTTTACTTTAATTTTAGTCTGCTGCCCTCATCCAAAATGGTAGCCAGTGAAAGTTTACAAAAATAGACATACCTTCTTGGATGTCTCCAAGTGAGTCAGCAGTACAGAGTCCTGGTAACCCCAGCCCTACAGAATGTTGGAGATGCAGGTTTGATCTCTGGGTCAGGAAGATCCCCTGGAGGAGGAAATGGCAACCCAACTCCAGGATTCTTGCCTGAAAAATCCCATGGACAGAGGAGCCTGGCAGTTTACAGTCCATGGGATCACAGAGTCAGACATGAATGAGCACATACACACACAGGACAGCAAAAGGGAAATGTTTTCACTACTGCCTTAGCTACTGTGTCTTAACCAGTTGTCAAGAATATTGTAAAAGTTATATTATTTGGTCTTCAATTACTAATTGTTTCTGTTTACTCAGTTTTCAAATGAGTTTTGAGATAAAGCTGCTTTACCTCACCCAGTTCTGTTTCTTCTGATGACCAGTCCAGAGAGTTAAGCTGCTTATTTACTTATCTTGGTTAAAGCTGACAACAGCATTGCCCCTGCTTTACATTAGTCAGAGCTAGGAAAGAAGCCGCCTTTCTGTCTCCGGTAATCACAGCTACCCTTGAAGTGGACTATCTTACCTTCTCAAGCAGGTGGAGAGCAACAGGAAAAAATAAATAGATAAACATTGTGAAAATTACAACTGAATGCCTAAAGCATGGAAGATGCTCATTCCCTGCCTTTCATCCCTTAGCGAGCTTTCTAAAACATAGTACATGTTATTTATGTTATTCATAATTCATGTGATTCCTCTCTCTAAAAGGCCTTTCGTGGATCCCCATGGCTGTAAGACGAAGTCTACTTTCTTTAGCATGAATGCAGAACACAATAGGATCAGGTCCCCTTATTTCTCCAATTTATTTTCACCACAAATCCTATCTATGGTCTGTATTCCAGACTTGCCAGATTGTTCAAATTTTCCTAATTGTTCCATGCCCTTTCTTACCTCCAGGAGTCTGCATTGCTGTTTCCCCTCCCTAGGATGCCCTGCCCCTCCTTGTTTTCTTGGAGAACTCCTATTTGTCCTTCTAGACCCTCTCTGTTGAGCGTTGACCTCTTCCTATATACCACCTTTGTGCCTAGAATCTAGGTTTCTTACAGCTTTTATCCCAGTGGATTGCAGCTATTTCTACAATTGTGTCTTCCCGTCTGGACCGAGAAGGCCCTTACTTACCTTACCTGCTATCTTCAGGCACCTGTCCTAGTGCCAGTTATGAATGAATGAGTGGATGAAATGAAAGTTCTTATGGGGTTGCTTTTCTGAGATATTCCACCTTTCCAGTGCAGCTGATCTCCCTACTTCTTAAAGTGTGTCCTACAACTTTTAGGTTAGGTTTGAGTTTTCAGGAAGAGCCAAAATTGGGAAAGAAGCTCCTCACCCACTGTGCATGTTCTAAAGCCCAGATCCTCTCCACTTCTAAACAGCTGTGCCCAGTGCTTCAAGGCCAGCATGGTTGTACTGCCATGAGTTTATAGCTATCCTTCACTTCCCATCACTTACTCATAATCTAAAGTCTAAGGGCCAAATGATTTTCTTTTCTATGACTATGCAATGGGGGGTATGATTCAGGGTCTCTAAACCACAGATGAACTTCAGAATTGAGTAGATTAGTGTGTGTGTACACTTTCCTGATGAGATCCATGATATTTATCATTCATTCATTCACCCAAAAAATAGTTATTAAATAGCCGAGGACTATTCTAGACACCAGAAGTACAACAGTGAAGAAAAAGAAAGGCAAACCAAAAAAAGCTACTTCCATAAAACTTACATTATACTAGGGAGAGAGACAATAAACAAGATAAATAAAATAGATAGTGTAGGTGACAAGTAATAAGAATAAAGTAGGGGAGAGGGAAGAGGCAAATTGTACAATTATAGACAGACGTCTGGACAGGTGACATCTGAGTGAAGGCCTGAAGAAGGTGGGGAATGAACCATGCAGATTGTGGAAGAAGCACAGTGTGGGTGGAGGGAGTCACAAGGGCAAAGGCCAGGGAGGCTTAAGCAGAGTGAGCTGGGGAAAGGGTGGGAGCAGGTAAGATCAGAAACCTAATAGGGCCCAGATCATATCGGGCTTTGCAGATGTTATAAGGACTTGGGCTTTTGCTGCATGAGAAGGAAAACCTTTGGAAGATTTTGAGCAGAGAAATAACGTGATCTAACTTATATTTTAACCAGATCACTTGGGTCAATTGACATTAGTCAAAAAAGAGGCAGGAGGTAAACAGGCTAGAAATAGAGATTTAGACATAATCAGCAAATAGCTAGATTTAAAGCCCTGAGACTTATGAAATCAAAAGAGTGAGTAATAAAAAAGAGAAGAGGATCCTTCTAAGCCCTGAGGAGCTTAGGAGGAATCAACAAAAGAGATAGAGAAGGACTAGCCAGAGAAATAGAATGAAAACCTGGCAGGGGTGGTATCCTGGGAGACAAATAAAGACAGTTTTTCAAGGAGCAAGCCACCAGCTATCAGCAGCTGTTGACAGGATAGGTGGAAAATAAGGACTTAAGAATTTTAAATTTAACAAAAGTAGAGGTCTTCAGTGACCTAAGGGACAGTTGCAGTGGAGTTTTAGATAATAAAAGCTGGATGAGAGTGAGTTCAAGAGACAATCACAGGAGAGGAATTGGAGACAGGGAGTGTAGATAACTCCATCAAGGAGCTCGTCTGTACAGAGAAGGGGAGAAGCAGTCACTGGAGTGGGATCCTCAAAGGGATCCATCTGTGATGCACAAAAAAGGTTAAGTAGCATGACTGTAGGAGAATGCTGAGGGATGTGAGTGGAAGGAAACTCAGAATGGGTCCCAAGCAGTGCCAGAACCAGGCTGCAGACTTCTGACTTGTTGCTTTGCCCTGCTCCAGGAGAGTCCCCCAGAAGTCTTCATAGAAGGCATTTTCCAGCCAAGCTATAAAAGTGGGAAGCTACACGATTTAGAAAACCTTCTAGAATCTATTGACTCATCCTTGGAAAGCTGGGGAAAGTACTTGATTGCCGCCTGCCAGCATTTACAGAAGAAGAACTACTACCACATCCTGTATGAGTTGCAGCAGTTTATGAAGGTAACAGCAGCCCCATCCTGCCTGCCGCCTCTGGCCCCAGAGCCCTGCCATGAGCTGGGCCTGCACGGGACGAGGGGGCAAGACTGTCCCCCGGCCCCTAGCCGTGCTCCTTGACTCAGCAACAAGAGATCCATGCTGCTCTGAGGCATCCTTACATGCCATCAGGACTTCCATTCTCATCCCAGAGAGGCAAGCTTTAATTGCGTCAGAATTCAGGAAATATAAAGATTGAAAAGAAGAGGGATATGATAGCTTCTAGACAAACATGGGGCGTGAATACAGAATTAATTCATAAGGAAGGGTGGAGAAGTATTTTTAGAGCATATAATTGAAAGCAGAAGGATCAGATTTCTTCTAGTCTGTGAGACATTGAATGATTCAGAGCCAGAGTGAAAGTGATGGCAAGTCAAATGGAGTATCCTTAATCTCCTTTTTAAAGATCTCTTTTGTGGAGGAATAATGTCCCACCCAAGAGTCCTGCCAGCTGCTTACCCCATGGCTCAGTGGGTAAAGAATCCTCCTGCAATGCAAGAGACACGGGAGACGCAGGTTCAATCCCTGGGGTGGGAGGATCCCCTGAAGGAGGAAATGGCAACCCACTCCAGTACTCTTGCCTGGAGAATCCCATGGATGGAGGAGCCTGGCAGGCTACAGTCCATGGGGTCACAAAGAGTTGGACACAGGTGAGCCCAAGCACAGCCCACAAGGCTGCAGAAACACCTGACAAGAACCCAGCCAGTCAGTTCACTTTCGGATCTCTTGGGCCTCTGAGGGGAGGGGTGCTGGCAACCAGACATCCCCGGTGGAATTCAGATCAGAACTCTTCCCCACATCCCCACCCTCCAAATCTCCTTTGACCAGAACATTCATTTTCCTCTTCCAGGACCACGTGCGGGCCGCCATGACCTGTATCCGGTTCTTCACTCACAAAGCAAAGACGTTCACGGAGCTGGGAGAGAAGCTCTCCTGGCTGCTGAAAGCCAAGGACCACCTGAAGATCTACCTCCAAGAAACCTCCCGGCGTAGCGGAAGGAAGAAAACCACCTTTTTCCGAAAGAAGATGACGGCGTCCGATGTGTCAAGGTAGCTCGGGATTCAGGGAACAGTTGGGGCGGTGCAGAAGGGCTGGAACCCAGGGGACTGTTGGTGACGAAGCCACTCTCGCCCATCTCTGAACTCGTGGGAAACAAACATATACACCTAATAGAAGTCATTCATGGATGATTGTGTCTGGTGTTAAGTCTCAAAAGTCTCCAGAGGAGCTTGGAGGAAAGGAGACTGGGGGAGGGGCGGAGATTAGGCTCACTGGTGACAATCAGGCTAAACCCCTACCCAGCGCAAGAGGCAAAAGAGGTCCTGGGTGATCCTTCATCTCCAGCTTACATCTCAGTACTCTCCCTTGTGGTGCATCAGGCACACTGGCTCCTCGGCACCCTGAGTCGTTCCCTTCTCTCAGCTTTATGCTGAGAATGCAACATCTGAAGTGAATGCTCACTGCCACCGTTTTTTCCTTCACAGTCCCAGTCACTAGATGCCTTGATGTGCTTGTTCCTTACCCACCTCTCCTCTAGCCTCTGAGGGCAGCGTTCACGTCTGTCTCAACCTCTGTTGTTAGCAGCATACCATGCTCTGTAAACACTCGTCACCCATTTTTGTCCTGTCGTAACTTCTCAGAAGGCATTTTGGATCTCTTGCCTCCACACCCATTTCTCTTGCCCTTTCCATTGCCATCCTGTTATGACTTCTCAGTCCCCCCTGGTCCTTGTTACCCACGAGTTCCCTCCTGAGGCTAGACTGTGCGTCGCCTGTCCCCACAGACACATGAACACCCTTCAGCTGCAGATGGAAGTGACCAGGTTCTTGCATCGCTGCGAAAGTGCCGGGACCTCCCAAGTCACTGCCTTGCCTCTGCCAACCCTGTTTGGAAATAACCACATGAAAATGGATGTTGCCTGCAAGGTATGCCTGATGACTCGGACCCCTGGCAGGCCGTTCTCTTTCAGAATGCTCATCACACTTGGCATTGTCTGATTATTTCAGTCGTTTGTTTGATGGTTGCTTCCTCAATGGAATGTGAGCCCCAGAAGGCTGTGGCTCGAGTCCATTCGTATCCCTTGTGCCTGTGCTCAGTAGAGTCTTCACGGATATTTGTTGGAATAAATGAATGAATGAGGGTCTTGTTCTTGACTGAGGGGCTGCTCCAGTCATTATTGCTTCCGTAAGCATGTTTCCCTCTCCTTTTCAGGTCATGCTAGGAGGGAAAAATGTAGAAGATGGTTTTGGCATTGCATTCCGTGTTCTGCAGGTATGACCGGATTACTCAGGATTATACGAGCAGGGATCAGCACATGAGCACATTTCTGTGAGAGATTATTCCTCAGAAAATTTTTATCCCGAGAAAAGCAGATTTATACTACATCAAGGATGAAAGCAACGAGGTGGCTATTACAAAACTGGGTCAAGTTTGAGACCAAAGGCCACTTTGACAAAAGCCAAGCAACCAGTGACAAGTTCATCAAAACTGTCAAATAAATACCTGAAACCGGGTCTAGGACAGTTCACCACAGCTGTCCTCCTTGCAGGGGAGCATGGCTGGAGGAGACGATGGGGGGAAGAGTGGTCCTATTCAATGGGAGGGGCTCCCTGGCAGCAAGAGCCACCCCTCCATCCTTCAGCTGCCCACGAGCCGGCTCGAGGCGTACATTTCTTGTTGCTGTGATAAGAGGACCCAGGCACAGCTGTGGCACTGGATAGAGGGTGGAGCAGGGCGCTGAGACCGCGAGAAGCCAGACCACCCCTACTGCACCATGACACAGAGGCACCCAGAGGCCCCTCACTCTCCAGGCAGGCAGGGTCTTAATTAACACTGTGCACATCTCAAGGGTCAAAGACAGCAAGCAACCCAATCTGACAGGTCTCTTTTCTTCCCACCTGTTTTCTGTGTTGGACAAAGCTCTCCATACACAGATACCCCCATAGGCAAGCGGAGTGACAGCTCCTTTCAGACCCAAAGGCAACAGAGTGTTTATCCGGTAGTTTCTAGATCATCAGTCTTTTGGTGAACTGGTCTGTCTCCTAACACCACAGCCTCTCTTCACAGAGCACCTGGTGTCCTGGGGAGCCAGTGTCAGCCCCCGATATCCATTTTCCAAGAGAAGGTTGACTCGTTAGAGGGAGAATGAACTGGTCTTGGGCATTTGATTAGAATATCTTCAGGCGGTGACATGGCAGCAAGTGAAATGTACCAACATAGATCTCAAAGTCCCAGTTTTCATGCTTGCTTCCCAAATGTCTGCCGAACTCCAAAAGAGGAACTTTCTGCTGGTTGTCTGCTTACGTATGTTTTCTCCTGGGTCTGCAGTCAATTTGGCGTGTCTGCCCCAAGCCCGTTTGGAGCTCTGTAAATGTCACCTTCCTTCCCCCGGCTGTGGAGTCCCTGCCTCCCTCCCCTCATCATCCTGTGTTCTGTTCTAGGACTTCCAGCTGGATGCCGCTGCTACCTACTGCAGGGCCGCCCGGCAGCTGGTGGAGAGGGAGAGGTACAGTGAGATCCGACAGCTGCTCAGGTGTGTCAGCGAGTCGGGCGTGGCAGCCCAAAGCGATGGGGACACCGTGCTCCTCAACTGCGTGGAAGCGTTCAGGAGGATTCCCCCCCAGGTACACCCCCCAGACCTCGGCTCCTCCATCTCTTTCAGTGTCTTCACGTCCCCCTCTCTATTTTTCTCTTCCCCGTCATGTACCCGAGACTCGACAAGATCCCTCTGTCTTTCTGACCCCTCTATAATAATGGCCTTACTCTAATCAACCCTTCCCTGGAAAGAAAATCCACGGTGTGTATCCAGAAGCCGCCCCTCAGCATCCCGTTGCCTGATGTTATTGACGCCTGGAAGTGTCTGCGGACTGGTGGAGTTGAGTTTCTCCCAGGGATTGTAGACGAGGTCAATATGGGCCTGCAGGTGGTGTGTCACCTGCAAAACTGTTCCCCAATGGCTTCTCTGTGGGATGAACAGACACATCATTCATGAAAGCCAAGGAAAAGCTTTTTGTCACATGTTGACTCTCAGATTCCCAAGCTTAGTCTTATCATTAGATTTCCTCTGTTGCTCTGATAGCAGGAGTTGAGGTGGTTTTTTTGTTTTTTTTTTTTTATTTTGGCCACTCCACGAGGCTTTTGGGATCTCATTTCCCCAACTGGGGACTGAACCCGGGCCCTCGGCAGTGAAAGCACCGAGTCCTAACCACTGGACCACCAGGGATTTCCCAGGAGTTGAGTTTATAAGGAAGGGTCAGGCAGGCATCCCCACCCAGATTCAGAAGGGCTTGGCTGAGATGGAGTTGAGCCCCGGCTCCTATGCCGGGGGCCCCCTCTGTTGCCCCCTCTGCCTCACGACTGCTGTGTCTCTGTCCCGCACAGGAGCTGGAGGGCCTGATCCAGGCGATACACAGTGATGACAACAAGGTGAGCAGAGTTGTCTCCGCACCCAGTGATGCGCGGGAACAGCCCTTTGGACCTGCCTTGGCACCTTCACCCCTCACTTGCTACGACAGTTCCATTCAACCCCTGTCTCACCATCTTTATTATCAGAGGTGGGGCCGGGACCCAGATAAGGGCATAGAAGGGAGGGAACATGTAGAGAACATGAGATCCTGACCACATGAGCCTTGGCCCTCTCTCTTCTGTACCCCCAAGACACACAGGCCTTTCCACTCTCCCCATTTTCCACGGAGGTTTTCTCTCCCATCCCTAGGAAATCCTCACTTGCAGATTGTCTCACTGAATAAGGTTCTCAGAGTAAACAGGCATCTCTCTATCCTAAAGGAGCGAGGGTACCCTCTCTGGTAGGGAAAAAAACCCAGCCAACCCTTTGACCAGCAATGCCTGTTAGTTCCTCAGTCTCCAGAACGGGCCTTTCCCCTGAGGCCTGTGCCTGCTTCCCATTGCGTAGGAAATGGGTGAACCTCGCTGAGGGTGCCAGGCAGAATAAAAGTATTCCCAGCTGCTCCAGTTTGTGGCTCACCACAGGCTCGATCCACCTGCCGTTCAGGGGAAGGCCTGCAGGCCAAGAGAGGTATGAGAAAACCCAGCCAGCCTGCCCTGGCCACTAGCAGTGGAATCATCTGAGTCCCTCGTGAAGAAAACTCGTGTTAGCAAACAACTTCTTACACTACCATGTTGCTGCTCCCCATGGCTGTATTGCTGTTTCCTGAACTGAATTTCCAGGGCATGTTTCATTTGAGGGTTTAGGGAGGATCTGTTCTTAACATTTCTTCATCTAATTCTGCGAGATCCTGATGCAATCTTACGAAAAGGATGGAATTCTGACATCCCGAAATGTGAAAAATTCTTTTTCTGGAATCAGAATGAGAACCTGACAGGCCTGAGACCCAGGTTTCTTGATTCTCAGACTGTGTGTGGTTCTTTTCTAAGCCTTTCCGGGAACCCCCTGCTCAGTAGGACAGAGGCTTTGTCCCTGGAAAAGACAGACCCTGGCTACCATCATTGTTACTTCTTCAGGTTTTTTCTTCTGTCAGTTGCTGTTCTAACACACTTAAGTGATCTAAGGCCACAGGATCTTGCCATAAAACAGCTTCATTCAGTTTTTATTCCAGACTTTCTGGAAAAATGCCCTTCTCTTGGTAGGGAGCTTTGCCTGTCAACTTGGTGATATTCCATCCAATGTACACTGGTGCCAAGTGGAGCTGAAGGTCTGGGAGAGAGCAAACGTCCCAGCAGATGGATTAACCGGACCAGAGCTCAGAACGTGCCAGACATCTTGCAGCTGTAGATTATCTGTAATTGAGCTTAGAAAAGGAAGACTTTAGTGACTGAAATGAGAGAAGAAGGTAGAGCTTTGAAACACGAAGAGAGGAGTCCTCTGCAACCACCAGGAGGACTGTCATGGCAAAAGGCACCTACTGGCCTGGAGGTCTGAGGCAGCTCACCAGGACCTTGCCATTCGCTTGCCTGGAGCCCTGGCTAGCCAGGGAGGTGCTGGTGGGGTGAGGACAGGGAAGGAAGGGGCTCTCATCTCCCTCACGCTAGGAACTCATGAGATGGAGTGTGTCCAGAATTCAGGAAACTAGATTGCCTCTGATGCAAACAGCAAGTAAGGTCAACCTGGGGCCACCCCTTAATTAGAGTTTTTCTAATTGTGTATCTGCACTTCTTTCCCCAAGATTTTTAATTCAGCAGGTCGAAGAAAATAGAGAAAGGGGCCCTGTGTGCCCATTGTAGGGGGCAGGTATGATGACTGATTCATTCATTCATTCATTCATTCATTCACTTCATGCATGTTCATGGAATACCCACATGCCAGGCCCTGTGCTCGGCTCCAGGAATGGTTAGAAAAAGCAGACACTCTTCCTGCCCTCCTAGTCAAGGAGACAGACATCAATCAAATAATCACTCAAATAACTGCAAAAACCACAGTTTGTCAGCATTGAGGCCCAGAGAAAGCTGGAAAGCCCAGGAGAGTGAGGAGTCTTGGACGGAGTAAATAGAGGCCAGGCTCTGCCTGCCTGCCTTCTGCTTTTTAAAATTCTTGGCTTATTTATAATAACTTCTCCACTGTACAGTAATACAGTGTAATAGGTTAGTGTCCAGAATATTTAAAGAGTGACCATAACGTAATAAAAGGCAAGAACCCAGTTATAGTTATTGGTGGGTGAGAAGTGCTGTCTTGTCTCTCTTCACGCGGCCCTGCTTCTTGGTGACTTGTCAGTGATGGTTTCCTTCCGGCTGTCTCTTGCACCCAATTGCCAGGTTCAGGCCTACCTGACGTGCTGCAAGCTGCGTTCCGCCTACCTGATCGCCGTGAAGCAAGAACACTCTCGGGCCGCGGTCCTAGTCGAGCGGGTACAGCAGGCCGCCAAGAGCAGCGGGGACGCAGTGGTGCAAGACATCTGCTCCCAGTGGCTTCTGACCAGCCGCAGCCGGGGTGCCCATGGTTCGGCCTCCAGGAAGTGACCCTGGGCTGCAGGGCCGGACAGCTGTGGGGCAGGAGTGATGGGCACCCTTCCGGCCCTTTCCTCCTGTGGGGCAGGACTTCCCTGGCTCCACCCCAGGTTCGAAAGAGCTGGAATTGGACCCAACCTGCCATCTTGAGCAAAGATAGGAAATCTTTCACGCAAGTGCCATGTTTCTGTAAAATTGTGGGGTCTGTGTGTGTTTGTCTGGAGATGGCCAGTTCTTTCTACCTCAGAGTGAGTGTGTGTGTGTGCACGCTCTTCACGCTCATGTTTACGCTCAAGCATTTCTGAACAAAGCTCTCCCCCACTGCAAAGAGGCACTTTACTTTCGACTTCTGCCTGTCTGAAAACCTTCCTGCGTTTTTGGTTCTTAACCCGGGTTCATCCTGTTTGTACACAGTCCCCTTGGTGTAGAGACGTTCCAGAAGCTTCTCGTGACTACAAGGGTTTTTGACAGAATGATGGAGCTGCATCAGAAGGTTTGCCTCTTTTCCCCTCCTTCCCGTCCCCAGATGCAGAGATGGCTTTGGGGCAGGTGCTTCCTGTGGTGTGAAACCATTCTAAGCATCTCTCCTCTCATAAGCACAAGAGTTACTGTGAGTCTTTGGAAGGTAGTCTGAACAGAAGGATCCTCAGGTGCTGGCATCTGAAAGCTGTGGATGCCTGGACACCTGATGGGGTCTGGAACCCCAGACACGGGCAGGAGGGGGCGCCATCGTGTTCATCCACAGGGAGAGAAAGGGGAACCTCTCCAAACAGCATTGCAGGAGAGTTGTCTACAAGCACAGAACTGGCTTTTGTCAATATTCCTGCTGCCAAGTAAGAGAACTTGGCTTCCTCTTGGAGAGTCCGGGAGAGAAACAGTAGCCAAGGTCCTGGGACCGAATGGCTAGACTTTGCCTGTTTGAGTTACAGTCCTATTTATGCCCCTTAAATTGGTTAGAAAATCACTTCCTCTTTCCACCTGCTTCTTTCAGGACAGAAGGGTGGACATGCAGAGACCCAGGGTCATTGAGAAGGCAGTGCATTTCTTTGTCTTAACAGTGGGAGTCAAAGGTTCACTGTAAAGTTGGGCCTGAGGACAAGAGTTAAACAAGGGGATGATGACATAAGGTCATGTCCAGTTGGTGAGCAACCAAATGAAGTGCTCCTTTATTTAATTAGTGTGGGCCTGTCTTCCCACTGGAGGTGTGGCAAGCTTCTGGAAAAGGTCTGCCCTAGTCCGTGATGTGAATTTGCAAACAAGGGGTGTGAAAAGAGCTCCACAGCTGCAAGCCTCCCACCAGCCAGAGCTCAGCCCGTCCACCTCACAGGGGCTGCTGAGAGGAACGGAAGCTAGAAGCCCAAGTCAGTATCTCTGGTGCTTAGAAACCCTGCGGATCTCCCTCTGAACCAGGTTTTTTAAATAATGAACTAAACAATTCTAAGAGCATCTGTAGAAGTTCTGGTCCTCTGAGGGAGGGACGAGATGGCAAAGAAAATACTAGACTCCTTTATGGGGAAGTTGGACAAGTGGCATTTTTGTCTTTGAGTTGTAGAATGCATCTGTCTCCCAGGAAACGTTCTTCCCTGGCATCTGCTTGCCCTTCTAAGTCTGCCCTTTTTGCACTGAACTTGAGCACTTTATATTAAATGGATTGCAAATCTTACAGCCATTAATTTGAGATGTTAAGACCAGATTTTCCTGACATTTTCCTCTAACTAATTGAACCTGTAAAATAGCAACCATTGACTAGACTGACGTAAGATGAGGCTAAGGGCCTTTGGGCATCAGGCGTGGTCTCCAGCAAAACAATTAACTAAGGGCAGGTTGACGGGTTGAATGTTTGACTATAAGCAAGTCACAATAAAATGTCTGTCCTACAAGTTGTTGGCTTCATGGCTCATTTGTGCTGTCTTGCTCTTACCCTTCCCTTCTTGCCTTGGGTTCTGTGTTGAGAGAAAAGGTGGGTGGGAAAGATGAAATGACCTTCAACTCTTGAACTTCTCAAAATGATTCCTGTTATAACTCAGGCCTCTTAGGTTAAGATTTATCTCAAGTTTCCTAGGTGACTCAGATGGTAAAGAATCTGCCTGCAATGTGGGAGACCCAGGTTCAATCCCTGGGTTGGAAAGATCCCCTGGAGGAGGGCATGGCAACCCACTCCAGTATTCTTGCCTGGAGAATCTGCATGGACAGAGGAGCCTGGTGGGCTACAGTCCATGGAGTTGCAAGGAGTCGGACACAACTGAAGCAACTAGGCACACAAAAAAAACTACTTGTGTACTCTCTACCACCAGGAATTTTTTTTTTTTTTTGCTTCATTCAGAGTGGTGGGTGGAGGTAGGTTATACATTCATCAGGTAGAGAAGACAAATGAAAAGTCCTTCCCATCCCTATCTCCTCAGCCCTCAGCCCCATCCCCTCCCAGAGGCTACCTGTGTGACCAGTCTCTAGTGTATAGTTTCAGAACTCTTTTATGCATATAGAAGCAATAATGACTGAAGTATTCTGTGGTGAAGATATGCCATAATTATTTAACCAGTCTCTGTTGATGGATAGTTTAGGTTGTTGCCATCTTTACCACAACAGATGATGCTGCAGTGAGTTATCTTGTCTGGAATACCTTGGGTCAAAGACTTCCTGGCAGTCCAGTGGTTAAGACTCCGCACTTCCAATGCAGGAGGTATGGGTTCTATCCCTGGTTGGGGAACTAGGATCCTGTATGCTGCATGGCGTAGTCAAAAAATTAAAAACCTCTGAACTAGAATACCCTGGGTCAGAGAATATGAACATTTGGTGAGTGTTGTCAGTCACCTTACATAGAGGTCATCGTAATTACCTGTCCCACCAGCAGTGAAGACAAGGGCCTGCTTTCCCACACCCTTACCTCAACATTTAGCAAACTTTGTAGATCTCTGCCAGTCTGAGAATGAAAAATGGAACTCTGAAATTTTTTTTCAAGCTGGTTTTTTTCCTGTAATTCTATGTATCTTTTTAATATCAACCAAACTGAGACTGTTTGAAATCAGGGGTCAGATCTTTGGGGAAAGCAGAGCTCACACTGGGCTTGTTTTCTGGTCACCCTCTTACAGCACCTGTGTGCAGAATGACACTTGAGCCACAGACGGGAGCTTTGCTACCATTATCTCCTTTCCCCAGGAACATGATCTCATCTAATACGTCATTTGAGAAAATCAGCAAAACTTCAAACACACAACAAACAAAAAGTAATGATGAAAGTCCACCTGAAAATCCCCTGTTTGGGATCTGGCACGAAGATGCTTCAGACAAAGGAAATTGGAACACCCAAAGTAAATCTAAGACAGAGGATCCAGACTATGTTTAGAAACCTGAGATGCTCCAAATTTACTGGATATCTTCAGCTGGAGCTTTAAGTGAAGTAGATCAAATGTTCTCAGATTCTTCATACTCAAGCAACCAAATAGCAACAGTCACCATAACCCTGAGGGAAATGACCTGTCTTGGTCATCCTCTCTTCTATAGTAATGATGTTAACTGACCCATTGAAGCCTCCAATTCTTCTACAACAGATTTATTCAACATCTGGTTGCTGAATGGTTTCTTCAGTGGGGTTCTTTCACACTCCTTATTTCTTCATGTTGTTATTTCTGCTTGGCACTCTTCTTTCACCACCTCCACTACCCCACCTTCCAATCTGCTGTTATCCAAAACCTTCCTTCAAGCTCATTTCTTTTACTTTTTTTTTTTTTTTTTTTTTTTGCCTCACCATTCAGCATGTGGGATCTTAGTTCACTGACCAGGGATCAAATGTGTATCCCTGGCAGTGGAAGTGCAGACTCCTAATCACTGGACCACCAGGGAATTCCCTTCAAACCCACTTCAAGTGCCTTTCCTGCAAATTATTTGCTGCTCTGGCTATACCTCCTCTTCATCCCAGTGAAGGACTAAAATCCTTCAAGGTCTCATCCATTCTCTCTTGACATTCATATATTCTCCCAAATAATCCCATAGCTTCAGCGGTCATCTTCATTGGACAAGTTATAAACCAAATTTGTCTTCCTTAACTTTTTTCCACAGAAGATCCAGCTTTTGATTCTTTTCTGAAACTCACCCAGATGGCTGAATTGCCCCTAAAAATATTAGCATATTCAAAATGGAACACATCCTATTCTACTCACAAACCTTCCTCCTTCAATGAACATTAGTATCAATTAATTAGTGTTAGTATTACTATTGTGAATGCTACCTGGGTTAGAAACCTCAGGAGTTCTCTGTATTGACTCTTTCTTTTCCCTCATCATTCAACAAATATTCAAGTATCTACCATGCATCAAGCATATATCCTGTTGAAAGCCAAAACCTTCCTATCCTGCTTTCCCAGCTGAAGAACCTGGCCCTTCATCACCTTACTTCAGGTCCTTGTCACTTCCTCCTCTGACTGTTGAAGAAGCCTATTTTCTTCATCTCAAACACCTATCCAAAAGTTGCACCTCCAGCCACTCCATACTAACAGACAAAATAGTTCCGAAAAAAAATAACTTTTCTATGATCTTCAAGTATGGGAAGTCTTTCTAAGCAGATATAAATTCCAGAATCACTGAAACATTTAATTGTTGTTCAGTTGCTCAGTTGTGTCCAACTATTTGTGATCCCATGGACTGCAGCACACCAGGCTTCCCTGTCCTTCACCATCTCCCAGAGCTTGCTCAAACTCATGTCCATTGAGTCGGTGATGCCATCCAACTGTCTCATCCTCTGTCATCCCCTTCTCCTGCCTTCAGTCTTTCCCAGCATCAGGGTCTTTCCCAATGAGTCGGCTCTTCACATCAGGTAGCCCAAGTATTGAAGCTTCAGCTTCAGCATTAGTCCTTCCAATGAATATTCAGGGTTGATTTCTTTTAGGATGGACTGGTTTGATCTTCTCACTGTCCAAGAGACTCTCAAGAGTCTTCTCCAGCACCACAGTTCAAAGGCATCAATTCTTTGGTGCTCAGCCTGTTTTATTGTCCAGCTCTCACATCTGTACATGACTA